AATAAGGTTGTCGATTATTTCCTTCAAATATTTGTTTGAATATTGGAGTCCCAAAACGGCCCCTTTGGGTAATATTTCTGAAATAATAAATAAAAAGGTATTTCAGATCAATTTCAAACCTTTTTTGGACCTATATATTATTAAACTATCTCAATTTCCAATATTTATTTATTTGGACCTGATATTAGTTCAATATGTATTTAAATAATTTTATAAAACCAAAAATATTTGTCGAAGGAAATTTAGAAGTCAAATTTCCGACAATATGGATAGATGAAAAGCAGAGTTGGGCAGAGGTAGAGAGAAGAGGAGAGTAGAAGAGAGAAGATCAGAGAAGAAAAAGAGTCAGAAAAAAGAAGATATAGATATGTAAAAAGATAGGAAAATCGCGAAATACTGTGTTTTTCCAATAATTTGAGGCTCCGGAGGATCGAAAAATAGGCTCGCTAAACCGGCGGGTGCGGAACCAGCTGGCCAGATAAGAGATGAAAAATTATATATTATTGTGGTCTGAAATATATTTCGAAATCAAAATTTAGAAAATATACCATATTCGGACCACTTTTGGAAATTAAAATCTTAAAAAATTGTACGCCGTTATAACGCAAAATTTATTTAGAAATAATAAAAAAAAATCACCATAATTCGGACCACTTTTAGAAATAAAGATGTCAAAAAAATATACGTCGTTATGGTCTAAAATTTATTTCGAAATTAAAATATATAAAACACATAATTATCGACCACTTTTAAAAATTAAGATATCAAAAAAATACACGCCATCGTAAGTACGAAGTATATTTACAAATCAAAATAAGTAAAATTTACCCCCATTCGGACCACTTTTAAACATTCAAATTCAAATCTCGTTCCACATAGCAAATGCAAGATATCATACACCATATTAAAAATTAATAAAATATAAAAATTTCGTAATATTCTTAATTATAACCACCATTATATCGCATAATATTCCAATATACTACACTATACTATAACTACACCTTCACTACATAATACACTACACTCCACTACACTACAACTACAACTACACAACTACACTCCACTACACCCACTACACTAAATTACACTACACTATACTACACTACAATACAATACACTACACTACTTTCCACTACACTCCATTACATTAACTACAACTACAACTACAATTACAACTACAACTACAACTACAACTTCAACTACAACTACAACTACAACTACAACTTCAACTACAACTGCAACTACACAACTACAACTACACAATTACAATTACACAACTACAACTACATAACTACACAACTACACAACTACACAACTACACAACTACACAACTACACAACTACACAACTACAACTACACAACTACAACTACACAACTACAACTACACAACTACAACTACACAACTACAAACTACAACTACACAACTACACAACTACATTTACACTACGCTACACTACACTACACTGAATGACACTGCACCACAGATACACAGGTAGACAGATAGATAGACGACAGATAGATAGATAGATAAAGAAATAGATGGGTAAACAGATAAACAGATAGATAGATATACAAATAAACAGATAGACAGGCAGACAGATAGACAGATAGACAGGTAGACAGCTAGACAGATAGACAGATGAAAGAGAGAGAGAGAGAGAGAGATAGATAGATAGATAGATAGATGATAGATAGATAGATAGATAAATAGATAGATAAATAGATAGATAAATAGATAGATAGATAGCTAGACAGATAAACAGATAGACAGATAGACAGATAGAGAGATAGATAGATGGGTTTATGGATAGATGGATAGATGGAAAGATGGAAAGATGGATAGATGGATAGATAGATAGATAGATAGACAGATAGATAGATAGATACATAGATAGATAGATAGATAGATAAATAGAAAGATAGATAGATAGATAGTAGGTATTTAGATGAAAGAGAGAGAGAGAGAGATAGATAGATCGATAGATAGATAGATACAGAGAAGATAGATAGGTAGGTAGGTAGATAATCAGAGAAAGAGAGAGAAAGAGAGGAGAATTCAAGCACCTTTCGGTCCATCAGTGGCTTCGCTCTGCTATTCGTGACTCACAACAACCAAGCTCTCCTATAGGTTTCCTATTTTTGAAACTTCCGCCACCGCCTTGTGCGGTACTACTGATAATAATAATGCTAAATAAATAAAACAATTTGTTAAAAAAATACGATATTTATATATTTATATAATCTATATCTTTTAGAGTTCTTTATATAAATTACTTTTCAAAATTTAGTTATTTAAATGGGGTTTAAAAATTTTAGTTCTCACACTGGACATGGCCAAAGTGGGTAGTCCCCCATCGATTTTCTAGATTTATATTTGCATATTATATTTCTATATTCATAGGATAATAAATTGGTAATTCCCTATCAAATCCAAAAAAAAGTATAAATTTATATATTTCAATATTAATATTTACAATCGACTAAAAAATATATTTATAAAAATTTGAATATTTTAAATATATGTTCTAAAATGTTTAAGTGAAACTAATTTTATCGGCAATTTATATATATATAAATATATTATTTATCATAATATTTTTAATTTATAAATAGTTCAAAATATTGTAGATTTAAATCTATATATTCGAATATTATTGTTATAAGTATAATTAAATTTCAAATATGATCAAAATAATTAGAATAATATATCAAATTAATTTTATATAATATAATATATTAAAATATATGAAATTAGTGTGTTTGTTTGGTATATCCATTTTGATATATTTAGAATAGATAATTAAAGAAATTGGATTTGAATATGTTTTCTGGAATTTAGGTAATGATCTTGATGGTCATAATTTTGATGTCAACCAACGGCCTGCGCGGAAATAGCAGATGTAAATTGCAGCAAATAAAATAATTCAAATAAATTATCCAAAGGACGGTGTTGGGATATGTTCGGTGTCCTCATATTCTGTCGCTGGAGGACAAAGATCCATGGCCATTTCTTTACTTGTGCTGTCTGGAAAGCATGACGAGAATTTCGGTTGCGGTAAAAGTTTTTCACCTACATTGATGTTATGCGTGCCAAAATGTTGTGCTGAGCCGATAAGCCAATCCCATTCTTGGAACATCCCTAGGGACCTGTCGTCGCAGTTGGTCTGGGTCTTCTCGATGTTCTGGACCTTGTAAGGAAATACAAATCCAAGATGTTCTTACAATGTCCAAGTTCAAAGTTCAAGCATTGTTTATTTTTTGGCACTATGTCGCCCTCGCAGCTTGCGACAACTCAAGGTCCGCGTGACACACCAGGGGCCCACACCACATCCATGCCCTGTAAAACACGGCCGAAGACCGTGTGCTTCCCGTCCAGCCAGGGACATGGCACAGTAGTCACCTGGGTTTCTTTGAGCCCAGCCAGCTGGTGTTGGCACAAAATTTGGTACTTGGCCCAGTATAGTTCCATGCTGCCACTGCTTTGATCGGGGTCTTTGTTTTCGTGGTGCTTGCATCTATTGTAGCAGGCCACAAAACGGATCACTACCAGCCTAGAGCCGCTTGTTAACCTCCTACAGTCTACAGTTTTTGAAATCTGCAGCAAATCCATTTTGGTCCTTCCCTCCTGGGCCATGGACGAAGAACTGAGAGCCATTGGTGTTGGGCCTGGCCAAAAAATCATCTGGCTTCAGGCATTCAGGGTCACTCTGTTCCGCGTTGGTCTTTCCATGGTGTCCATGTTTGGCCCCAGCAGCAATGGGGTGATCGCGATGAGCCATGACAAAGAGGAGAACGAGGCCCATGATAGCAAGAAGAAAAGGAGGATAAGGAAGGTGCTGATGATTGTGATGGTGATTGTGATGGTGACTATGATTGTGACTCAAATGCAAAGTGGCAGGGAATTGGAATGATGATCCTGATCATGATCATGATCATGATCATGATCACGATGATGATGATGATGATGATGAGGATGATGAGGATGATGATGATGATGAGGAGGAGGAGGATGATGAGGATGATGAGGATGATGATGATGAGGATGATGAGGATGATGATGATGAGGATGAGGATGAGGATGATGATGATAATGGTGATGAAGAAGATGAAGATGAAGATGAAGATGAAGATGAAGATGAAGATGATGATGGTGATGATGATGATGATGAGGATGATGAGGATGAGGAGGAGGAGGAGGAGGAAGAGGAGGAGGAGGAGGATGAGGACAATGATGATGGTGATGATGAGGATGAGGATGATGAGGATGATGAGGATGATGAGGATGATGAGGATGATGAGGATGATGAGGATGATGAGGAGGATGATGATGATGAGGAGGAGGATGAGGATGATGAGGATGATGAGGATGATGAGGATGATGAGGATGATGAGGATGATGAGGATGATGAGGATGATGAAGATGAAGGTGATGAGGAGGAGGATGATGATGATGAGGATGATGAGGATGATGAGGATGATGAAGATGAAGATGATGAGGAGGATGATGATGATGATGATGAGGAGGAGGAGGAGGAGGAGGACAATGATGATGGTGATGATGAGGATGAGGATGAGGATGAGGATGATGAGGATGATGAGGATGATGATGGTGGTGATGATGATGAGGAGGAGGATGATGATGATTACTAGTAGTAGTAGTAGTAGTAGTAGTAGTAGTAGTAGTAGTCGTAGTAGTAGTAGTAGTAGTATGAGTAGTATGAGTAGTATGATTAATTTGAGTAGTATGATTAATTTGAGTAGTATGATTAATTTGAGTAGTATGATTAATTTGAGTAGTATGATTTTTATGATTATTATGATTATTATGATTACTATGATTATTACGATTATTATGATTACTATGATTACTATGATTATTACGATTATTATGATTATTATGATTATTACGATTATTTTGATTATGTTGATTATTTTGTTTATCTTGATGATGATGATGATGATGACGACGACGAAGAAGACGACAACGAGTACGAGTATGAGGATGCGGATAAGGACAATGGTGCTGCTGACGGCAATGACAACAGCAAACGTGACTATACTTTAATGTGAATAAGTCTACCATGAAGATCATGATGATAATGATATATAATTCATAAGAGTGATGCATGATGCTGCAATGAAGAGCATGATGAGGATGATAATGACCAAGACGATGATGCAACATCAACCAAAATGATGCACATGCATCTGGAGCTGGTCTGTCTGAACCCAGCCAGCAAGGCCCGGCGTTTGCCATAGACAGCGTGAAGGGCCGGTCATGCTTCAGATTCCGGTGAAATTCGTCCTGCCACAAGAATGGAATTTTCCCTTGCACACAATCATAAACTTTGACGTGGATCAATGAATCCTTGATACATACAGTAATAAAAAAAATGGAGACAAATCGCAAAACTCGCAAGAGGAAGAACCTTTTCACACCTTGTCATGGACTATCCTTCCAAATGTCCCGCCCCCTCCAGGCGTCCAGGCCTCGAACTCACCGCCCCAAATGCTCTCACCACCGGTGCCATCGCCCTGCGGATCCCCCGTCTGGATCATGAAGCCCTGGCCGCAGGACTCGGATCCCACACGCCCAGTGCAGCAACTTGAAGATGTTGGTGGCAAGTAGACTCAAGTAAGTGAAGTACATAGACATTGATGTCACATTACAGTTTTTGTGCGCCAAAACAACCAGCTCCACACACTGAAAAAGCACGTGTAGTATGCTTTTCGGGCTACCGGGTCAGGGCTGGTGATAGCAGAACAAAGCTCATGGCACTGGACTTCAGTAACAAGCTATCTGCCAATTAATTGAAAAGAGGAGAATGGACTTGCTTTGCAAATTGAATTTAATGCTAGAAGTCCACTTGACGCTGACAAAATGAAATGTCACACTATCAACCAAATAAAATAGGTTCCGTAAAGGTTCACTGGACAATTCACAACAAACTACCAAAGCTTTTCTTGATGCCATTTCAAACCCTGGCGGATGTCACACCAGCCGTAAAGCCCGAGTGACAGGGCCTGAATCACCCTGTGGAAGATGATATTGTCCTTGGATAGCTGTTGAACATGTCGATGCGTGGAGAAATGATGGCATCTGGTGTGATTTTGCCACAGACGATGTGGCCCAATTTCGGCGCAACTTGATACAAATTGACTGACCAAGTGGATTGCAAACTTGTACAGTACAGAGGAAGCACAACCAAGGGCCTCCCACCTTCAGCCCGCAGGATAAAGAATCCGACAGATCAAAGTTTCAAGAGTGGCTTTGGCATACTTTGGCAACATTTGGAACACCTCGTGTGAGTGGGGTAAGTCATCTCACTTTCTCCACCTCAAGGTTCTTTGTAGAAGTGCCTTTCCGGGGACCGAGAGCCAAACGTAGTAGCCATTCTTGGAGTGCACTGTGAAGTTCTCAACGCTCTTCGGACACTCCTGCCAATAGTGCGGGTTTTGAATGACAGTTTCCGCAGGCTTTAGAAATCTTGAGAAGACGTGATTGGGACTTTGCTGGTCATTGAATTCCATTCGCATCCAAGTCTTCCAGCGGGCCACTGAGCAAGGACAAGCTGATAGATGATGCCAAAGTTTTTCTTCCGGACTCACACCGAGTGACTGCATGGATGCTCATCTTTGTCAGTTGATGGCGGAAGGGGCTTGGAGTGAAAAAGCCAAGTAATCCATGAACCTACGGCACCCACGCGCATACAGGAATGGACCGAATGGATGAAATCAAGACTCTCACAGGGTTTTACATCCATGGCCGCTAGCTGCTAGCTATGAGTTGAAGAGACTGCCCAGTCACCCCAAGCCGTCCTGATGGAAGAGCTTGACAACAATGTCACCCATTGTGGTATGAATAGTTGCTTGCTTTCCCAGGGGGTTCTCAGTCCTTGGGACAATTCAAATCATGATTCCAATGTGAGGTTGCAATTTGAGCGACAACATTTTGCGATCAGTTTCCAATATGCTGCTCCAGTGTTGCAAGACGTGATTACCAGATTTACTTTCGAAATTAAGTTAAATCATTCTGCAAACACTCACGGGAAAGAGAGATTACTAGAATATCTAGAATATGTCCTCAAAATAGTAATTTTGCAGAATGATACATACAACATCATACAACTCTGTAATTGGGTCGGGTTGCAACTATCCTTGAAAATAGGGAAACGGCCCCAGTTTTGACATGGCAACGATTTCAATATATGTCAATCATATATGGGCCCCACATGGCCCCACAATCTGTTAGAAGGCAAATCTATTCCTGGTTGGCTGAGATTTGGATGGCTCAACCGCTAACCCGCCTGATGGAGGCTGCCACTGCAGCATCTTCCTGAAGAGCTACGAGGCATAAAGGTTTCTTGTCCGTGCTCAAATTGTAAAAATGATTACACTGGGGATGCCTGCTCCCAGACAACACCATTTGTATATCAGAGCATTCTTGACGAAATCCTTGACCATCAAAATAAGCTTTACAAGAGGTACGATTTGGGAAGTTTAAGTCTGGAAAAGTCCTGCATATCTAATGGTGAGAGAACCGAAGATTTTCGGCAGTGCAAGCACCAACAACTGCCTCATGCAAAGTGGGATCAGACCAGAGCCTTGCTGGGCTTCTCGTTGAAGATATCTCGTCCCAGATCGGCTGTGGTCTCTGGAGGCTCGCGAGTACTGAAGAGGTAGAACCTTCGGGCAGACTCAGACTGGAACGACTTGTAGGCCGATGTCTTGATAGCCTGATGGTTTTTATTCGAACACGAAGAGCACACACACTCACAACACTATCTTGGAAAGTCCAGAACAGCCCAATCTCTAGCACAGATCGCCATGCACTTCCGGGTTTTGCCTGTTCTTTTTGTAGGCTGTGACGATGGCAACGGGATCTGCTGACTCCTGGTGCTTGAAGCAGGGATTGAATCCTGGATTTCTTGCCCTCGACTACACCATACTACACCTACGGATAGGTCTCCACGCTCAATTCAAACATTCAAACTGTAGCTACGGCAGTTGAGATCAGAAAAGTCAATGGCCAAATAGATCCAAATAGGCGGTCTTGTTCGCAGCTACGTGTACGGCATTCCTGGCGCTCCCCTGGAAACACCTGCAGCGCTTCCAAGCACCGCTCCTTTTGGTCATTTTCGCCCTCAATCACAGACTCTCCCAAGCCCGCCTGCAACTCACCAGACAGGTGGGTATCGGACTATGTCCAGAATTTCCAAAGAATAGTCATATGAAAGATCACTGAGGATCACCTGCTTCTGTGTTTACGCTCCAACGCGTCCAAACCAGCACTAGCAGAAATTCATATCGCGCACGGATAGCAACACATTGCCCGAAAAGACTAAGTCACTGCAGGTACACTTTTGGAAATCTACTTTATCTACGTGGATGAATGACACATTGTTTGACGAGGCAACCACTCAATTTGTCGCGCTCTCAAGGGAGGGATTCAAGTGTATTCAATTCTTTCAAGCTATCCACATACCAAGTGCTGCACCCACCCTGTTCAGATTGTTAGGGTGGGGCCTCGCAAAGCTCCCAAGTTTGCAGGTACGTCGCACCAGAGTTTCCCTCTCTCATTGCAACTCGGAGTCTGAGAATAAGGGATTTGGGAAACAAGGGTACCGACTTCTGTCTTCATCAACATTAACCTTTCACCACTCCCGTCCATCCCTGCCCCATATCTCCAAGATGACCCATTTCCACTGTGCGACACCGTTGTCGCATTTTGCCGCATCTCTTCACATCTTGCCACACCTTGCCTTCTTCTTCATCGTTTTCCCCTGATACAACGCGATGCCCAAGAAGCGCTCGGTCTGTTCCACCTTGCCTCATTGCTCTGAGCCATTGCAAATGTGGGTGCGAGGATTTTGTTTACTTTATCTATATTTTGTGCCAGAAGATGTTAAATCCTGCACTTATGTCATTTACGGTTTGACCCCATGTAATGTTCCCACTATCTGAGGTCTCGCTCACCAGTCACTTCCTCCTAGACATATAGTCAAAATTCGAAGGGAATATTCGAGCAAATTTGGGATCACAGCCTTCGGGTTTCCACTTTTTTCGCACATGTTGGGCCAATCTCAAGCCACCTGCCCGCACAAGCCCCAGGGCCCCAAACCCAAGATCTTCACAAGTTTGTTGGTATGGAGATTCACAATCTTCACGCCAATCTGGGTGGCACATGGCGATGGCTGAAAGGTTCAAGAGTCATCACAGGACCCCTGGCAGTGGCGGTAAGCAGAGCAATTCCCGTGAACAAGAGCAAACCCACTGGATATGGTCATGACTCCAGATCACGCAGTGCTTGTTTGAAATGGAGTTTCCTTCTGGAGGTGCAGATATATCATCCTCTGATTATGGGTACTTTGTAGTGGTACTTTGTCATGCTCAAATGCGGGAATCTTGCTAGATTGTCCTACCATCTCTCTCTCTCTCTCTCTCTGTCTCTCTCTCTCCCTCCATATATATTTATATACATATATATATATATGTAATATGTATGTATATATATATATGTATATATGTATATGTATATATATACACATATTTATATGTGTATATATTTACACATATACAAATATATATATATACAAATATATATATATACAAATATATATATATATATACAAATATATATATATATATACAAATATATATATATATATGTATATATATATATATTTATATGTATATGTATATACACATATTTATATGTGTATATATATGTATATATGTATATATATACACATATTTATATGTGTATAAATATATATACATATATATATATTACATATATATACATATATACAAATATATGTATATATATATATATATACAAATATATATATATATACATATATTTGTATGTAAACATATATTTACATAAATGTGTATATATATATACATATTTATCTATATATATACATATATATATACACAAATATACTTATATATATACATATGTAAATATTTACATATGTATATATATATAAATATGTGTGTATTATATACATATATACATATATAGGTAAATATATATGTGTGTGTGCACTGTGAATTTTATACCATGGCACGGTGATTCCTCATGTGACTTTGAAGCTTCCGATATCAAGCAAGATCCAACCTCTATGAGTCTCCAAGGTAGTGAACAGTTTTCTCATCTGAAGCAATCGAGGCTCAGGTGCCCTCATAGGAGCTGTGGTGGGAGGGATATTTTTTGTTTTATCGGCGAGCTCAGGGAGCTTGGACATTTGGGGCCTCACCCTGCGATTTGGTGCTTTGGCTTTGGACTTCCTTCGGCGACCTATTGGCCGATTGTCTGGGGAAAAGCGTTGAGCCCGACCGGGATTGGGCAGGAGTTTGAGTGGCTACCAATTGCGACCCATTCGCAATACACACATATATATATATGTATGTATTATCATATATATATATATGTATTGTCATATATATATATATGTATTATCATATATATATATGTATTATCATATATATATATGTATTATCATATCTATATATGTATTATCATATCTATATATATATAATGTATTATCATATATATATATATATATATGATCAAATGTATATATATATATATATGATCAAATGTATATATATATGTGTGTGTGTTAATATAGATCATATATAATATATATGTGGTTGTTGATCAAAATTCCTTCATCCGGGAACGGCCATTCTTCGCGAATAAAAATGTTACTTTCGCGAAACTTTCGCGAACTCCATGTTTATCTTTCGCTGAACCTATGTTAGGCAATCATGATACGAACTCAAAAAAAAACGCGAGGGTTTCCAACATAACATGCACGGCTTTCGCAATTAAAACTCCTTATAAGGACCTCTAGATCGACTACCATATACAAATTCTTAAAATTCTTTATATATCTCCGCGTTTGACCATACAGTGGACCCAGATGAATTCAGCACCACTCTCCACCAGGTCAGCACCAGAGGCTGTGGCCAAAGAGGTGAAAATCAAAAAGTTCCCAGACTCGTCAAAGACCGCCTATCATCAGACTCTCAACAAGGGTCAGAGCTTAGACCCGCACGACCCACCCACACCAATGTTTTCACATGAATCCATGGACCACCTATCGCTTCATGGCTGCAGGCACAATTATGCGATTTCAAAAGAAAAACCACAGTAAATTCGGAGTTAGCCCATATCCTTTCCAACAGACGATGCAGAAATTCATCATGAGTGCACTTGCGAAGTTGTCCCCTGATCCCGCTAGCTGCCTGCTGGTACATCACAGCAGGTGATTTTCTCATCTCCTTCTCCACTGCAATGCGGCGTCCGAAGTCAAACCTGCGCATAAGTTACAGTACGCGCAGAGGTTGCTTAGCTCTTCACCTTATAGGAAATGAGGAATCAATTTGAGAGCACCCCCCACCACTGATTCCCGCACCCTTCACTATTTGATCAACAGTGATTAGCAGGGATTAACAGTGATCAGTCCATGATGACCAACTGACCAAGCATCGTGAATCCATGAGATCTGCTTTGACGATCAACAAGCCTGTCCAAATGAAGATCTCCCATGTTGGGATCACTCTGGGCAGCAGTAAACATCTCCATGGACTCGTCGTAGGCACGGATCTTAGCCCCAAAAGGGAGATCAAACTGGAGAACCGGGCTCTCATATGCGGGTGCTTCGAAAATTGGCCTGAATATATTCGGGAAACCGCAAGGCAGAAGCCGTAGGAAACCACCACGAGGGTTTCCCTATTTTCAACATCAGTCTTGATTCCGAGAGAAATGAGATGAGGGGAATTACAGTGTCCATAAGAGCTTTAACATGCACTGAACCTGCAATTTGGATCAGGTGCCAGCCAGGGATTGAGAAGCTAAAACTTGGAACATTGAAACTTAAGAATATCTACGACTTTAGAGGTGCACAATCCGAACAGGCCGAACAAATTCCATGGCCTAATTTCATCTGGGAGCCATTGCAATCCGTCTGTGACAAAGTTGCTTCAATGCGCGTCTGGGAACTGAAACCCATCAGACACCAGGGTAAGGATCAAAAATTCAGGAACACCGATCTTAAAGCATCTCAAAGTGGTACCTATTCCAAGATGTCCAAGTGTACCCAAGTGTAGCCTATACCATCCTATAGCCACTTATTTTATGGTTCTTGATGTGGTTCCATGATGCCATGGTGTCTGCCCATCCCCATTCGCCATGTGGCCATCTTCATGGTGGCGTAGCGAAACACTCGCAAGCGTCCATCCTGGAGGCATGGTGAGGGAAGCCATGGAAAATGGGGATTTACAAAAAAAAATGGTGATACAATGGGGATGGAAAGCCATGGAATCGTGTGGAATCCCACGGCGTGATGTTTTCTGCGCCCTTGCGCTCCGTTGAAAAAAGCAAGTAGCTGATTCTAGCCCACTGCAGGAGCTGTGCAAACGTTGTCCGAGGTCTACGTGTGCTTTTGATCGGCACTTGACAGACCTGGAATGCTTAGGTCTACTTTTGTTCAGCAAACTCGGCAGCTTCATCGTATTTTTAGCTGAGGTTGCAAACTGTTAGTTTGCTCTGGCTTTGACTGTCATCTTTCGATTTCTGTTATTTCCAAAATGGACACTCGCCGATCACACCTCGCACACCATCACGAACATGCTGCCATCCACGCTGTTCGAGAAGGATATGGCCTCGCCATCAATGGCACTGAAACACGAGCACTCTCCCATCCGTGTGTATATATATATACTTCAAGTCTGACGCCTGCAGAATGTGGAACGCACAACATCGAAAGGATACTTACACTATATCTTATATGTGTAGCCGACACAACATATAGCACCTGTGGCAGGCTCGCACAAATGAGTTCCGCACAGAAGTCTGGTTCTTCCGCAGCTCATACCTGGAACACCGGTAGGTATTCATAGCATGTCAGTTGCGTTGGAGACAACTGGAAGGACGAGTGGCGACAATCTGACGACCATGTATGGCTGACCCTCTTGAGAAGATGTCACAGCACAAGAGAATCTTTGGTGTGGCAACACGTGATAGCAACAGCAGGCTTCCCAGGGAGTGATGTTGAATCAGTCAAGAGAACGGAACTTTGCGATGGGCAGTCTGAAGCAGGACAACAGCCTCGTCCCTATTTACCCGGTCAAATCAAGAGCCGTGGGTCGCATGTGAGTTTCGCTCTTGATTTCGAAGCGTAGCCTGCGCAACTCAAAGGTGAGCAAACGATACTTTGTGCCACTTGAGTGACCTATAAGGTGGATTCACACCCCGAAAACAAACCCCCCCATTTGGATGTGTTCCAAAGCCCCAACTTTTGCAGCAGACCAGTTTCATCTCTGAGTTCCGACCTCCACGGTCCCCATGGTCACTCATGGTGAGCTCCATGAAACCGTGGATCGATCCCACCTTCCAGGGCGGGTCTGCTTCGTTGGCATCTCCAAGGTATCTGGATCCCAAAGCTCCAACGCCTCATGAAAGGCATGGCCCAAAATCCACAAAGCCTGCTGCGAAGGCAATACAAAGATGTATCTATACATATATATCTATACATTTATTTATTTACTTATTTATTTATTGTGCTTCATTTGTTTATTTATTTAATCATTAATTTATTTCTTATTTACGTATTAATATATTTATTTATCTATCTATTTACTTATTTATTTATTATTTATCTATTATTTATTTATTTATTTACGTATTTATATGTATTTGACTATCTATTTATTTACGTATTTATTTGTTGATTTATTTATGTATCTATCTATTGTTTATTTATTTATTTACGTAAATATTGTTTATCTATATATTTATGTATTTGTTTATTTACGCGTTTGTTGATTTATTTATTTATGTATTTATCCATGTACATATTTATTTATTTGATTATTATTTTTCATGTTTTGTTTTATTTATGCATTTATTCATTTAGTGATGTATGCATTTATTTATTTATTTACTTAATTACGTCTTTATTTATGCATTGATTATTTTATTTATGTGTTTATTTCCTCATTTACGTATTCATCTATATATCTATTCACGTATCTATTTATTTACGTTTGAATTTATTTATTTATTACTTATTTATTTACGTAATTTTACGTATCTATTAATTTATCTACGTATTTATTTATTTTTTCATTTATTTATTTACGTATTTATATTATTTCTGTTTGTCTATGTATTTATTTACGTATTCATTTATTTATTTATTTATCGATTTATTTATCTATTTATTCAGTTATTTACGTATTTGTTGTTTCCATTAATGTCTTTATTGTACATGCCCATGGTCTATCTCACATTCAGTTTACAGTGGCATGGTTCGAAAAATATCAACCCCAGATGATTGGAAAATTTACATCTAAAATCGAACCGAGCCGAACCGCAAACATGTAAAAAATTAAACCGTTTCATCCTGCAGATACTACGTGTTTCCGCATGCTTCATGATATACTGCAGTGCAAAACACCACCTTGACTGATTTCTTTGTTGGTCTGAAAATTGTACGGCAGTGTCAATCTTCGCTTTCAATACTGGCAACACAGTGATCAATTGATTCAATGTTCAAGTTCTCTTTGAAAGGTTCACACTTTTTCCCTTCAACTTTCTAAGCAGCCACGAAAGTGCTTCTTCCCCTAGGCCCCTGACACCACTCTTGTCAGCGCTGATGCACGCATGGATAACGGGATTGTACCTCAAGCAACTCACGACGAGAGTTTGACTGTTTTGCATTGTGCTACAAAATTCAAAGCCTCATTATATTCACTATGCAAAATTATTGTCATTGGTTGCAGAACAGCCATGGGGGTATCTGTTTATGTTTGCCATGGGGGCTGCAATCTGTTGCCAAGGCCTCATCGCATGGCACGGCTCCATGTGCACCTGCGGACCAAATCCCGCAGTGCACAGTCCTTGTTTTTGGTGTCAACGCCAGTAAGAGGCCATGCGTGAATTTTTGGGGTGGGGGGCTGGGGTGGGGTGGGATGTTAACGTTCATTTCAACTTCAACTACATAGCACGTTCTCTTGCACTTCCACACATAGGTCGTGCTACGCTGCTGGACGTTGCCCACAACCGCGGTGAGTCTGAGGCTGTTGCATACACACAGAGACTGCAGACAAGACTTCACGAAATTTTGGAAGTACTTGTATGCTGCAGTCTGGCGCAAAAGCGTGACAGGCAATGTCCTCCACAAACTCGGACAACTTTGTGCTTGAATGAAAAAACAAACTTTTCCGCGGAGCACTCGATCTACAAAATTGCAGTTTCGTTGAGGTAAAACACTAGATTCACTAGATTTTCCACTCTTGAGGCGACCCTTCCATGGAATTTGAGCCGAAACTTCATTGCAAAAAAAAACAAAATGTGCAAATTCCTACAGTTTCGGCCACTTCAACCATCAACATGTCATTCTCTGATGTCGTCACCGACACGGCCCCTTACAGACGTTGAAACCTTGTTTTTGAACCGTGAAGTAGTTGTAACCTGTTACTCAAATTTGCTCAATATGGTGTATGGTGCAGACTTGCAGAAGAGGTACGCACACATCCACAAACAATCCGGGAAAAAAAAAACGACTGCCTTAGACTACCTTGGATAGATCCTTTGCTTTGGATCAACTATGCACAATGATCAAACTCCACCTCCAGGCTACGCAGGGGTTCAGCTTTGCCACTCTCCGGTTGAAGGATGTGAACCTCTTCAGGCGGCCGGAGCTTGCCATGGAATTGGAACCCGTCCGGTGGCTGATCTGCACTACCCTTAAGTTGAAGAATCCTTCAGCATGTTGACCGCGATTCTAGGCATTCCAAGTTGTTACCATCAACCTGCTGATACAATCGAATGCCCAGGAAAGTTCGGATGATTAGGCATGATTAGGCTTCATGTCCACTTTGGCATGTCCTCTTTGCTATTAGAAATGAATCGTCCAAGAAAAAGATCTGATTTGCTCTGTCCCAAAAGGTCTTCCAAATCACAACAAACAATTCTGAACGATTGAATTATCTCTCACCAGCTGGATGTCGGCCTTTCCGGACTCTGCCTCTGACCTGACGGCCCAAATAATTGGGTGGTGGGCCAGAAAAGGCCAACGTTCTTAACCCAATGGCTCCCCAAGATTTTCCACAGCATTCTTTTGCTATTTACTTAGGAGATCTTAGGAGGTCAAAGATCCTCCCTTTGCATTCTGATTGTGGGGGCCCGGAAGATTTTGCTAAATTCATCCAAATTTTCATTGCATTAGGACAGTTCAAACTAAGTGCATCCTGCAAGGGGATGGGCTCCCGCCTGGCAGAATCCTGCAGATGGCTCGAATTTCATGGATGGCATCAGCCACAACCGCACAAACGACACAGCTACCGTTGTGGGTGCCCGGGCACTGCTACCAATGAGCTCGGGGAGTTCTTCTTGTGGACAAACTCGACCTAGAAAATAAACAGCAAAATAAACCATCACACTGAGATAAAAATGAAAAAAACGTGTCGTTCATATTCGTTAAAAGTGGTACTCCTGCAGTACTATGGCCAAGTGCAAAGGAAAAAAAGTTGGCAACTATGACTATGATCAACAACAAGCACTGCAACACTGGCACCTCAACTTGAGAACAAACACAAAGTGACACAAGACAAAAAAGTCTTGTCTCATGGCAATTCTTTTCTGCTGCCTACGGCTTGCAACAATACCTCTTCCAATTCCCCACAGCCAAGTCTTCTCCGACTTCCATTTGCAACAGGTGCAGGAAAACTTCAGCATTGCACCTGAAGCGGCTTGAACTTCAGCTTGATCATGCAAGTCATATCGAAGGAAGTGACCTGCGATAGCTACAGCGAAGTTACTCGTGATACATATCTAATATTAGCGGGGGGTTCATGAGGCTCTGCATCCCCAATCTGAAGTAAACATGAGTCTATTTGAATTTTGCAGCTTGGAAATCTTGGAGAGGTAGTAGGGTGAAGATGGGTGGGCCAGCATATCACCAAATTTTACTATGTCAATGGTGTTGGGATGATCCCAGGATTCTTGAGATGTGCCGCACAGGACTGCAAGCATGTCCAGCAGCAACAACCAATCCAGCAACTGCGCTCCATTCTGAGTCAACGGTACATTTTTCTGAGACGAATGACTATGTTCAACAAGTTGAATTTCTCGCTGTGCGGAAAGAACAATCTACCTAGATAGACATGGTTTTCCAAACTGGATAGATTTACTGTTGTCGCAAAATCTGAACCTCAGATACGGGGCGGAATCTGAATTCCCGTCCCAAATCCCCGTCCCAGCTGTAACAAACTTGCTTGTCTTCTAACACCACCAGCCAATTTCCTTGCTGCTGAAACCGGGCCTCGAAAAGCTTCAAAGCACAATCTTCACCGATGGTGGCCAGCAGCCTCCCATCCTGTAGCAGTTGGTTGTACTATGTTTATTGATTTCTCATCAGTTCTCAACGGGCCGGGTGCGATTTTTTGAAGATATCGTTTTTTAAGTGTGTCCTTTTTGGGGAGGGGGGTCTGGGAGCTGCTTTCCTTGACCTCCAATGGTTTTTAATTGATTGTTCTGTTTGACGGAAACTTTGACATTAATCATGAATCTAAATTAAGTCCAAAATCAATCTACATTCAATTGTATTCTAAGTTGAATTTGATTAGCACTTAATTTAACGCTACTATCTATACAAATTCATGTCAAAAATTAAATCAAATGTAAGCTGTACAGGAACCTGTACAGCACCCTACACGGCACCCTACACAGCACCTTGGACATCACCCTGTACAGCGCCACCGCACCCTGGACTACCTGCAACAGCACCCTAACCAGCACCTGACAACACCCTGGACAGCATCCTGCACAGCACGTTTCCTGGTGGAGAAACAAAACGCACAAAACACATGAAGGCGCCAAAGATCAATTTAGAAAACCATCACATGAAACCGAGTTGATTCACTGACACCAGGTGTCCCACGGTTCATTTCATCAGGATGCAGACATGTCTTGCTGTCAGTCGATCTGTGCATACATGAACACACAGACCTACTCCGATGAAGCAGAGCGATCCCAATTCTGGGACGCTGAGATAAAACGTCGACCTCCCCAAATCCTGAGAGAAAATCCAAGCAAAATGGTACAGAAAAAAAATGTCCATCACTGAAAGCCTTTTTTCTTAATGTAAAATAATGTAAATGGGCACAGAATTTGGAGGCATTTTAGGTGGCAATGTGACTTCAACTCAGCATGTAGTTGCACAATGCGAGGAAGTTCAAAGCACCTCAAAACACCCTCGGCATCACCATCGACTCACCATCCTCAGCACTGGTCGGCTACGGTTGGCTCACTAGTCCCCACGGTTCTGCATGGCCAAAGCAATGCCGCGGCCACCTCCTCTCTCTGCAGCCCCAGGGATCTTGTTGAGTTCAGCCAAATCCACATCATCTGCAATAACTTTTAAGGTGCAACTCTTCAGACATGCTTGAAGTGTTCCTTCCTTTTGATCATATTGAATCATCTTCAATGGCAGCGACAGCAGCTTGTTGCCATCACTCAGATCTTCCATCTGCGCCTCTTCGCGCCACCACAACTTCTTGGCTTCCGCCATCTCAGGGCAATCCACACCCACGCGATGGTAGACCTCGCCGCCGAAGTTCATGGAGGTCACCAACCCGGCCAGGTTGCGTTGCGGCTTGTTGTGACGACCCTTGCTGTGGTAGGGACAATCCTCTCCTGGTTGTTTGATGGTTTGTTGCGACAAAGGGGGGTCTTTAGATGATCTATGATGATCTTAGCATATCTTCTGAGCAAAATTTGGGCAACCATAACCCTGGGGGTGTCAACAGTTACTTCAAACGTAAAAAGGAAAACTAAACGAAAAATTTGGGTCCCAGTCCGCTGTCCATCCCAAAGAAAATGAAAGGCACTGGAGGAAGCATCCCATGTCGAAAGAAATGGGGAAACAAAAATGCAACAAAATTGCTTTTGAAACATGAAACCAAAATCTTGAACCATCTTGAAACTTGAAACCCACCGCCCAGTCGCCAATGTCCAAGGTCTCCGCATCCAACATCCAGGAACGACCCGCGCGATTGGTCCATTTATAGCCCTTCTCCTCTTGCGTCACTGTGACATAGTGCCAATCATTGGCACTCCCATTATCGACATACTGGGAACATTCATACTCTCCACAAACTGGATCAGCACTTGAATCTGAAGCTGGATCCTCAACTGTGATGTCTTTGGAGTCCTTGTTGTAAGTCACCTGAGCAGTGTTTTGCTTCCCTTCATGGATTGTGATAGTTCCCGGCAAAAAAGTGAAGTAAAACCCCTTGTAATCATCAACCAACCATAACTTCTGAATGATATATCATGATATATGGTATATCATATCATTATCCGCAATGTTTGATGGTTAATGCTTCTTTATAAATGATGGGTTGATCTTATCCCCATACAATAAACTATCAACCAAAGTTTTTGAAACTGCCCACCTGTGTCACCACCACCCCCTTGGTGTTGCCGGGAACCTTGACCAATAGCTGGTAGTAGGGCGTCTGCGCATCGTAGCTTCCGCACCAACGGGCTTCAGGTGCGCAGCCGGGAGAGACTGGAACGAACAACGACCCTTCGTACTTCCATTCCTGGCACCAGGGAACGGCGATCACTACAGACCTGCTTCGACTCTCACATCGCTACAGATTACAATTGACTCCGTTTAATCACCGAGATGTTTCCTGCGAAACGAAAATGGTGAGCGATTGCCAAATCGCTTTTGAATGTCTTTGACAAAGCAGTTTTTGTGAATATGAAAAAGGACGACTACGTACTGACTAAATGACTCTAGATCCCGCACTCTTGTTCACACATCAATTTCACAGTTTCTGCCTTCAGCTGATCCGGGTGCACTTCCACCATATTCCACTTCTCCGGCCCCGTCACCGTGATGTTTGCTTTGTCGAAGCTGTGTCGCGCCATCTGCGCCACATCAGGCTGGCAGTTGGGGTATGGCGGGCTGGATCTCCCAAAGTGAAGCGATTCATCAAGGTGTATTTGCCCAACGCCACTCCCAGCCGGTGGTGCGCCAGGAATTTGTTGTGCGCCCACAAGTTGGCTTCACCCAAGGATCGGCCGTGACCATCCAGCAGTTCGTTGAAGGCGACGTTCCAAAGAGTGGCGATGGCTGTGGGACAACGGGGCGAACCGGTGAAGCAAACACCACCACGCGCCATGACGCGCGAGGCGCAGGATGGGATGCCTTCATCGATCCCTGCAGCATGGCATCCATAGGACAGCATCACACAGGGCGCAAACATCACATTGCTATTACGGTGCATGCAGTGACCCAAAAAACTCCAACCAGAATGATCCTTGTGCAACACTGCAGTTGCTTCAATCTGGTTGTTCTCAAAATCCACTCGGTCCAGAGGTTTCATCTCATCCTTCTGGAGTTCTGCCAAGGAGAACCCGGCATTCATAAAGATCTTCTGCAGCTCGGGCCAACCAAAGAGACCAGCATCTACAATCTTGTCCTTCCATTCACCTGCAGCCCTCAAGACCGGATAGTTCACGGAACGAGTGGCCAAGAGGAAACCAGCAGTGGTTGAATCAGTGTAACAACGACCTACAGCAATCTCATGAGCATCATCCAAATTGAACTTGGCCGTGGCATAGTGATAGTCTGTAAGTGCATAATCTTTGCAGTTGTTCACATCTTCAGTGGTTTTGCATGCTGGGACACTGTCAGTTGCGCCCACGAGGTTCAAAAATCGCGGCTGACCCAGCACTTCGTAGACTTCCTTAAGCTGCTCCTTGACCTTGTTCAAGGGAGCTGCATCCAAGGCTTTGGCCTTTTCCAGCGCCACATCTTTCAGAGGTAGCACCAAACCACCATGGGCACAGGCATAGATTGGAGCAGTCAAGGATAGCTTCAGCTTAGTCTTGCGGTCCAAGGGGTTGGTCAAGGCGATGTAATTCACCGCAATGCCTTCATCTTTCAGGTAGGCTAAAGCCTTGGCGATATCGGGAATGGATACCACTTTGGCATCACCTGCCTTGAAATCTGCCAGATCCTCTCCCAGGGTCACCAATGGGTAGCTGCCGAAATCCGTGAGCCCCGACAAATCCTCAGCATTTTCGGTCACGAAAAGAGGGGCTTGGAGCAAACACGCCAAAGATGTGGCCAGCAAGGCGTTGCTGTAATCAGCAGTGGATACCACCACTGCCAACTTGATCTCTCCAGCCCAGGTGGTGGCAATGAATTCATTCATTTCCTTCAAATTGTTGCAGGTGTGTTCCCTGACACCAGCAGATTTGGAACCTTTGACCTGTCCCTGGACTTTCATCTTCACTGCGGAAGATGGTCACTTGGTTGGGCTGCAAGCGATCCAACAAGTTCTGAATGGCAGCGTCATCTGCTGGGGAGGTGTCATCCACGATCACTGCAGGAATTCCGCTGTTCAAATGTGCATTGGTGGCCAGCGCCGCCAAGACACTGAAGTCACGCCAATCCTCCAGGTCCTCCACGTTGCAAATGAACGCATGGATGTTGCCACCTGCCTTTCGTTCCACCTCGGGAAGTGTCAAATGAACTCCTTCTTCTCGGGCTTTGGTTTCCATGACACCAATCAAACGGGCATAGGTCACTCCTTCTCGGACTGCAGCGATCACCAGATCTTCATCATCGGTTTCGAAAGTGACTTCAATCTCATGTCCACAGCCTTCAGCTGGCGTCAACTTGAACTCCTCCACATTCAAGTCGAAGCACAGGCGTTCCTCTGCGGCAGCGTTGATCCAGTGGTAGCCGCGGCTGTCGGCTGAAATCAGGATCTCCTCTTGGGTCTCGGGATGTACATAAGAGCCCAACATCAGCAGAAGATTAGAGAAGGTCACATAACGGTGAACGGTGTGAGGGCGGAGAGTGGCTGGAGCCAAAAGAGCCACCGCATCACACTTGCGTATAACGGTCTGGACAGCTGCAACATCGTGGACAGTGCCCTGCCAAAATTCGCTGCACCCTGGACAGCATGACATTTCGGGGCCCAGCTCCCAACCTGTGACAGGACCATGGCCAGAAGCTTGCCTTGGCTCAGCACATTTGGGAGGGAAGGAAGTGAATTTTACGAAAGACAATCGGCAACTCAACTACTATAGTTAATCGATGTTAGTCATATAAGTCATATATATAATATATTACATTCATAAATTATATCAACATACGAAGGAGTTGTGACTCCCTTGCCTTGTCCAGGCACGTGCAGGTTTTTACACATAACTCAGAACTCCATAGTTGGAATTTCTAGCCAATCAAGGCGAGCAAGGGAGAGAAGATGAAATGTACCTCCAACATCTCCCATGCATCTCTAGTATTTCCACCCCACATCATATGAGCCTTTGAGCCTTTGAGCCTTTGAGCACCGTGTTCTGTGCAGACAACCCTTGGTCACCACTTCACCAAGCCGCTTAAGTGGGCACGGTAATGTTTCACAAACTCGATGCCTTCGTATTGTTTCTTCCAGAACTTCACCTAGAACGGGCGCACGTGAATGGTAGTCTGGACCGTTGGACCTGAGTCGCCATATTGCTTCATGGTTTGGATTTAACATATTGGCACTAAGAGTCAGGATACCAAACGTGGTTCAAAAATGTTCAAAGCCCCTCCTGGTGAACGCTTAAATAGTTGTTAAGTGGCTGTTAATCACTAGCATTTCTTCCAGATTCCCCCAGTGGTTCAATAAATATCAACCCAAAAGCCTTGCGTTTTCGCGCTGAGTGCCCCCAACATGGCCATCCTCGCTGCCAGTCACCAGGAAGCCCGTGGCATAGCTGCACACCGCTAAATGGACCACGTCACGATGCATGAAGCTCCTTGGACGAAGCAGTGATCGCCACGGGCAAAAAGTCCAAATTCACCCAGAGCTGTGGAGTAAGGTTTCAAAGGTTTGGGGATCAAATAGATCAACTGGATCCAAATGGATCCAATTGGCAATTGGCAAATTAGTCGATAGATCCGAATTGAATGGTTTGAGAGGTTTTTGGGTTTTTGAATGCTTCGCGCTGTCTTTCCTTCTTCGTCATCACAGCGCACAGGCATGACTCTAATGACTCTAGCCTATTCGGCCTATTCATCTTTCCAGCCTACAGTTGTCCTCCATAAATCTAGCGAGCTGTGACATGTTTTGACATTGCTATGAGAAAACCAAGTTCTGAGCCATGGCCACAGATGGACAAATAAAACCTGAATTGTGAATGGTGATACCAGACGTTCATAGCCTTGGCTGCATGCTTGAAGGATACAACCAAAAGAAACCACGTGTCTTTGGAAGTGGAGCCCTATGTTCAAACAACCATGAGGCAATGTCAGAAACTTGCTCACCCGGAATCCTCGAAAATCTGGACTTCTTTGTGCCGCAGAAACTGAGCAACTCCTGATCACGCGCCCAAATCAAGATACTCTTTGTTTAACAACCAAGTCTCTTTTCATACATCTCCCCGTTGGGCAAGTTCTCCAGGTAGACGTGTGCATTCTTTAGAACCTGCAAAGTGAAAAAGGCCATGAGCAAGTTTGATCTTGAAGAGCTTCAACATGTGCATTTCCGGTCCATGTACTTTGACCACTATCTGTTGGTCCATGGGTCGCAATACTGGACCTTCCCAAAAAAAAACAAAACCTAGTTCGAACCGCAACATGCACCAATCCAAAACCAGGCGGAAAAAATGCTGCAAGCTCCTGTGCGCCCCAATACTCCTATTATATTATTATTATATATTAAAATTCCTTTGGTTTCCTAGTTTGGGAGAGTGTTCTTGAGGAATGTTTGGACATCTCAGGATCTCAGGCGCTCCCAGTTCCAGCTGTTTGCCTTCTTTCGTTTTGGCTTGGTCTGCGCCGGTGCAGGTACTGGCCTGGGCAGTGGTAGCTCCAATGGAAAAAGCGTCATACTAGCACCGTACTTAAGTCACATCAGGCGGGAAAAGTCACATCATCCCCATGGCACGGCGGCGATACAGAAAAGTCACATCAGGTAGTGGAAAGTCACATCGGGGAAGAAGAATCACAATGGCACAGCCTGTTTCACCTACAATGATACATATACTGTAGCTAAAAATTGCCGAAGCATTGCGCACAGCAGTGAAAATGACAGATACTTTGCTGAAAAGGTTCATATTTGCAGAAAATCCTAATGGAATGATTGGAAAACAGCTGATACCCCTTTCATCTCCTCAGATTCAAATCCCTGGTACAGTGCCCATTTGGCACATACAATCATATAATCTTTGAAGGAAAGTACCATGGCACAGCCTGTTTCATCTGTACTTGGAAATTTAGTCCATAAGTATTAGCCAAGGCATTGCGCACAGTGACGATTTTGAAGGGCACAGCGGCACAAGTCAATGGAAAAAGCGTCATAGCTGGGGTTGATTGCTGTAATCATTCATGCTTCCTTCCAAGGTCAACAAAAACCCTGAGTCCGGGACAATTAGGCAAATCAGATCTAATCAGGACATCACTGAAAGAAACCTATGAAGTGAGGTTCTCATCTCATCTTGCCCCAATTTCACCGCAGTCCAAGAAACATGGGGCCAAATCCATCATCGTCATCGTCGTCATCGTCTGGATCTGGATCCAAAGGTCTCTTTTCTCCGACTTCCGCCATGGAAACCTGGAGACAACAGGGGAAGTTTGGCCACCCATTGCTTTGGCATCACCCTGAGCCAGTTTTGTTCATTTTTCTTCGGTCAAAAAGGTAGCTATGCCACTAGCTCCAAAAGCTGGCGGATTGACTTCCTCAACTGAACTTGACGGTGCTTCAATTGTCACATCTGGGATTGGGTTTGGTGGATCCAACTTTGGACCCCACGAAATCCCCCGACTTGGGCATTGAAATCGGACACCCAGGAAATCCAATGGAAATCCAAGGAATCCACAAGGGGGTCCCCGATCTTGGGACGGCTTCGTGAAACCAAGAAACCCTGGAAGCTTGGCCAAAGTCTCCGGAGGACTGCTTTGTGCCAAGGTAAATGCCAACATATGCTGAACATATGCCAACTATTTGGATCTTGGATGAGTCGCACATCTCAACATTGGAAGCTTTTTGGGGGAACTTACAGTGCCAAACTCTCATGCGTTTAATCCCGGAAGTTCACATCTGCTGCTTGGAGGAAGTATTTGGTGGCGTCGCTCTGTGTGGCCTCCATGTGACTCCATGTATCAAAGCTGAGCCACAAACCCACGCATTCCACGAATTCCAAGAACATGCAAAGACTAGGCAGTTCTCACGCTCTGGAAGGTTGTGCGAATTGCCTTGGCTCAGGGCTTCCACATTTCTTTTTCCAAGGGCCGTAGAATAAGCTTCAATTCCTCACCAAATCCTGCTGTCTCGACTACTGTATCTTGCCAATTGACCATCTTGCTCGGCCAAGTGTGCGTTCTAACAGGAAGTAAATTAAAGACATACTCAACATCATGTTTGTGATAGATGCGATCCTCTCTTCCAAATATCCAACCCTCTCCAAATACCACATCAGGTAGCAGGTAGCCCTCATCCTATCATGCATCTGAGGTGCAGGGAAGAATATCTAGTGAGTCTCTGGACACAAACTCATGCCTGGAAGGTCCTTGTGTTGTCATCATAGCAACAGGGTTGTAAAAACTCTCCAGTTTTTCTGCGACGTCGATCTCAATCGATTCGATCAGAGCTGCACAGTCTGCCTTTGGACTGCAGCTGGTCTAAGCTACCGCAATAATCCTCTGCTAGAGACCTGCGGAGTTGTGAAAAGTTTCCATAAGTTTCCAACAATAGGTCATTTGAAAGTGATTTACAGTGCGGCTGTCTTTGAGACAGGTGCTGGCTGCCAGTCCACTTTGGTGCCCTCAATTGGAGCCTTTCTTTTGAAATTTCCTGAGGACCCGGAAGCCCCAAAGATTCACCGGACAATTCGGGTAGCCAAAACCTGACCTTTGGCCCCGGTCCAATTTAACATTTCCAAAATATCAGCTGGTAGGCCTGACACATTTCAGAGATGAAGATGATGAAGTTATATGCAAGCCATGTCCTACACCGAGGCTCTTCTTCACTTTTCCTTTGCCTTTGCCCTGCACGTAACAAGTGCAGCTCGGCCTATGCTCCTTGTCCTAGGCCTTCCCTGAAAGGATCTGATGAAAAAATATGAGGTCGAATTCTGTCCACAACTTGCACTGGTCCTGCCATCAGCTGTCCGTCCAAAAAAATACAAAACCCCTCAGCCTTGGCTTTTCCTCCTTCCTTGCCGCCGCCTTTGGCTTCACTTTGGCCCTTGGCGCGATCTTTTTTCCTCAGAGTCTGCATCCTCAACCCTTCAAAGTTGCAAATTAGCATGCAAAACTTTTCAAAACTGACTGCAGAAAGGTCAACTCCTAACTGCCAAGGCTCCCTTTGTCCTTTCCTTTGTCTTTTCCTTTGCCCTTGCCACCTTTACCCTTGCCACCTTTGCCCTTGCCACCTTTGCCCTTGCCTTTCTTTTTGCTCTTCCTGAAGGGACGTAACATGATGAACGGCAGGCGCACAACTATTGAGGTAGGGTCACCACTGTGACGACTAACTGCAAGCACCATGATGGCAACCTCCAGCGGCAGATCCATGACTCAAACAAGAATGATATCTTGATGGAGAACGAGTCTGTTTCCATGACCCCCTACAAGCAGAATTTATACAGAGTGCTGCAGCGATACAAGCGAAAATCATCGAAAATCGATATCTTTTGAAACTATGGGGCGTGTCTAAAATGAAGATGTGACGCGTGCATACTGCTGCATACCCGACACATAGACACGTAGTCAATCTGCTTACACGGCCCTTCGGCCCTTCCAACCCACTGGGTTCCCTACGCTGATGACCTCTCCGGCTTTTCTCCTTGCTGGAAATGACCCTCGTTATCGAAAGGATTAGCAAGTCGCTTAGCAATATTGCTGGGTGTCTACGGATGTCTGCGGTATTTCCTTCCTTCCAGAAGGCTTCTAAACTTGGTGTCCAATGTCCTGGAAATCTCAAGATGGAAACCAATTTAAACCAATTGACTTGCTAAAATGATCTAAAATGTGGTTCTTTCATGTTCTTCCTGTCTGTGTCAGCTCAAGTGGCCCAACAGGCTTCCTGTCTTTGGTTGAGCCGCTTGCACTTTGAAGGCCTGCAAGCTTGGAGGGCTATGATCATTATGATCAAGCCATCGGACTCACGGGTCGGATCACCGTCAGTTCGGGCTATTCCCAGATTGTTCACCGCAACCGAAAAGGGGTTACAAATGGTTACAATATGGTTACAATATGCTTACCATATGTTGCAGTACTGTCGCAGTTGCATCTCAAAAGGGGCGTCCTTTTACTCTCTGGCCTCGCCATTGAAAACATCGCCGTTCATGGCTAGAGCCTGGCATTCAGGTGTGCTGCACATCTCAGTTGGCGGCACCGATCTGCAAACGTGCGGAATGCGACTTTCTGGAGCCACTTTCTTTGCATCTCACTCATGTGAAGCAGAAATTTGGGCTGTGAACATAAGGGCAGCTTATCTTTTAAAAACCATGGTACACCTCCCCACTAAGTTTGCAGTCGTTCATCTAGTTGGGGTGTTGAAAATCCCAACAGGTCTTGGGAAAGCCTAGAGCCTCCACATCGCCCCACAGTCACTGCAGCATCGCCTTCTCCACAGCTGCGTGTGTCTTGAAGGTCACAAATGCCAGCTTTTTTGGTGTCTCCTTGAAGCCGCAGGAGATGCGGCAACCAATCCGACCCTCTTACTTTTGAAATCCTTTAAATCCCTTAGTATCCTTAGTAACCCCTCAAGCAATGATCCAGGTCAGTGTGACATCGGGATAGACCCCACCCCACAGTGCAAAATTTGGCACCGAGACCCAAGCGATGCTGGCAATTTCGCCGCAGGAGGCAAATTTCCGCCGGATGGCATCCTGCCAAGCGCAGCGGAGCACGCGCCCCAGCATTCGCCAAGTGGCGGAGCAGTTGACCTTGAGGTATTTATATTTTATATTATTTTATCATTTTAATCTGATGAAGTAAGCCCCTTAATCATGGGGGTATGTATTATCGTAGGCATGACAAATCAGTAGTCTGAAGCGTGAAAGGTAGGCACTTGACATCTTTATTTAGAGATTGCGCAGCTGTTCCTCGCATTGTCCGTTGTCACAATCTGGCAACTAGATGGCCCCACTGCCACAACCCGCCTGCTCTTCCTGCCAGCAATCAGGAAGCTGCGTTGGGAATGTGTTAAGGGTCCAATGGTGCAACACTCTGAGACAGTGACTGCAGGTGTGACGTTTCACCTCCTCTCAACAAAAAAAAATGCACACAGAAAGAAGCTTTCTATGGTTTTTTTCCATGCTCCATCCTATTGGCTTCTGGGTAAAGTTGCACCAAAGAGACCAAAGAAGCACATCCCAGCCTTTGCCCAGCGAATGTTGCCCACGAAGACTTTAAGGCTTCCTTCCTGCCAAGTGAAGCCCGTCGACATGGTGGGAACCCACTTTTTGGGCCGGTCAGTAAAAACGGGGATTACAAGTACTGTAACCTCGGGATCATCCTTTTGTTCCAAATAAACACCTCTGAATACATACAGTACAGTGTTTATATTATATGTGTATATATATATATATACATATATATACATATATACATAATTATATTGAACTATATACATTATGTTTTTTGATTGTGGTTTCCCATTTGTCTGTGGGACCTGCAAAATCATGGCTTTCCTGGCTGACACAGACCTCTCATGGAAGTTTAGGCCCCATCTTGGAATGTGAAAACAGCCATCAGTGGAATTCGATGGCAAAAAGCGGGGTCCTCAGCTTCTGAGGCTTCCTGGCAATGGCACAAATCATACGTCAAGTAAGACACGGTGGTATCCCCTACTTGGCAAAAGGTGCATGATTTCTCTATTGCGTTCCAGTTGTCGAACGAGAATGAATACGGGTCAGTTTGTACCAGCAGCTGCTGGTCGCATGTATCCAAGAAACACTGGGTGAATTGGTGCGTTGGTCATCAGTTTTGACCGTATACAACTGAATGTAGTCTGGAGGTATGTCTTTCACAGTAGATCTTCACATTATCGGTCTTCCGTGCCTCCTCATCTTGTTCCTCTGCTTCCGACTCTTCTTGATCCTCTGACACCTTGGCGGATTCGTGCTGTGGCTTTTCCCTCCTCCAAATCCCTACCGCAAAATTCCGGAAAAGGTAGTGGTCACAAATCAGAATCTTGGATTGAATGTTGCTTGACATTTTAAGCGTCGATTACCGGAAATCCCGTAAAGAAGTCGTAGAGTCAGGCGTGGCCGGTTTCTACCCGCTACAGGCTACACTAGGAAATTAGTAGAAATGAATACACGCAAAGAAAGTGGACATCAGTGGACAATGAGCAACGCCTCCTTTTTCTTTGGCTTCAATTCTTTCTTGGGTTTTGCCTCCACTGAAACGCGTCAAGGAAAACTCCTGTGACTGTGACGTTGAGTGCAAGAAACCATAACAAACCGGTACTTCATACAAATGAACAAGGTATGAACGAGCGAAGGTCGCCAGGTTATGTCCCATTTACAGCTGAGCAGCCGATCCGGAGGGTTCGCAAGATTTCGCAAGTCTGGGATTCAGTACCCAAACAATTGAACATATCTAAAGATCATCAAAGATCCGATTGGACTTCTGGCAAGGCACCTTCGCTGGGGATTTTTTCTTCAATTTCTTCCTGACCTTTGCAGCTGGCAGTTTCAGGTCAGATCAAAAAGCACCAGTCACAGGGATTCTGCCCACCTGACACATGAGACCATTGGGCACAAAGAGGTCACTTGGACTAAACCAACTCCAAGTGAAACAGACCCTGTCCCTTCCCCTTTACTCACAGAAGAATGCCCATTCAGGCACGAAACCATCTCGGGTGGCGTGGACCGGAGTCGTCACCAATGAGCAGATTGGCCGCTGGGCTCTGATTCGCTGGCAATAAGTTCATGCTGACTATACTGGTTGTTCCCAAATTCAGAGAAAAATTAGCTGGGGTGCAGTACAGACCGTGCAAACAAGAACTCTTTCTGAATAGTCCTCAAACAACGAACACAACTGGAAAGAGTTTTTGCCGCAGTGTTCAACAGTTTCAGATGCGTGCCCTTTGTTGCCCTACAGTGGATGCTAATCGCCGGCTGTCCATGCTGCGGGAGGTGAAGAAAAATTCAGTCTTCATTGGTTGATGCTGCTCAAACTGCACACTTCCTTGCCAATCTCAATGGTCCCATGACCGAAAAAAATATGTTGATATTAACTTTAAAACTGATAGGTGTCCAGTATGTGTCCAGTCTGGATGCTGAAGTCAAAAGATTCAATGTCCAGAACTTTTGACCGTTTCGAAATTGCCTCAGATGTGACCCGCCGAGGACAGTTTTTGTCCATCTCCAATGGTCACCGGTGTTCGCAAACGGCCTCCTCGAGCACCACCGGCATCACCAACTGGCGGCTAGCGCGTTCCACGGTACCGCAGGCGCCACCGTGCCATTCAAACTAAGAGGTCTTGGGGAGCTCTGAACGACGTTCACCAGTGGCCTCGGCAAAGTCATCTCCACACGATGCACGGGAAAATGAATCCAATGAATCCATGGTCAAGTGAGATGCGAAATATGAGATGTGACGAGATATGAGATCAAGATGATTAAGTAATATTAAGTGGTAAAGATTGGTAAAGTAAACACTTGGTCTTTTCACTTGTCACAATTCCACTGGGATCTGTTCCACAAGGTGGTAGTTCTGGCTGGCAACTGCTGCAACGTCCCCATTGCCAACCAATGCTGCGGCATCTCGGTTTTACACGTCAAAGGCACGGAAAACCATGTTGGCAAGGCACAGAATTCACGTAGTAGAAAACCCCAGGCCTGGTTGGGTGCGGATGGTGCAATGGATCAGTTTTGGCAGGTGCTCGTCAGAAGAAATTGACTTGTCATTCGGTCCTTGTCATACTTTCATCTGCTCTACGATGGGATTTCATTGGTTCAAATGGACACAAGCTCTAGCGCAACCTCCCTTCCCGGTCATGGTTTCATGACCACACGAATGTGGGCTTCTTATTGTAAGGTCAATCGGGGATATTCAAACATGTCGCAACCCATGACAGCGCACCCCATCCATGTGTCCATGGATTAAAAACACACCTTGCCACGCGAATCTTGCGCAGCCCTTTCTGGCACCTGTTTCTGCTGGCGTGACGATGCCAGTTTGGAGGAAGCTCCTAGAAACAAGCAGCTTGCTTGGGTGTTGTGCCCTTGAGATTGAGTTTCACCCAGGACAGGTTTCCCTTTCTGACATTCTGGTGGAATTGGGGCGTCCCGTGTTGTCAAACTTTGAGTTAAAATCTCCCACCTTCCAAGGGGCAAAATCTGTTAAAGCTACCGGGCCAAGTACTGTAGAAAAGTGCAAGCTAGGGTCCCAAACAGATACAAATAATGTTTTTTGCCCGAGTTTTGGAGGACCATCTTGAGGAATCTTTGGGTCATTCAAAGGCACTGCCTCCAGTGAAGTGTCTGATGGCAGGAAAGCTCCTCTGCTTGGCCATCTAAAGGGCCTGGTCGTGGGCCGGCAGGCTGTTGGCTTCCGGATGAAACTGTTCTGAAAAGTGCAAAGGCGTCTTGCAAGAAATGCATCTATGATCATCGACTGCATGCATTTATTTTTGGACATATTCCTGTACATTGTCAAAAATCATGAGTCTCATCGTGGAAAGCAATGGATTTCTGAGGGTTTCACAGAATGAACATTTACAGCCAAGCAAAAAGGACATCCTCCGTAACATTTCGGCCAACGGCACGGAGCCTTCGTCCATTTGACGCTTGCCTGACCTTGACCGCAGAGCTTCGATGTGCATCCCAACAAGCGGATGGGGTTTGGGACAGGGGTCACTGGGTGCACTATCTCTTGTGTCTGAGGGACCTTCCAAGAGGTACAACTACCAGAACGCCTACGTGTGAGATCATTCGAGGGGTGGCTTCAAATAAAAAGCTGGTAAGAAGTCAAAAAAGAAGGGCACGGGTGCCGAGTAAATCTTGTCCGTAGATTAAGATTCGTCTCACTATATTGCTTCCCGACACTTTGCAAGACGCAACCCTTGGCTGCTTATTCTACACAAGCTCATGCCAAACCGTTGCCAGGCAGCTGCAATCTGATGCAATGTGCCTGGGGATGACTAGATGAGGTCTGCCACATTCATTGGCATCTCATCGATCTGTGTGGAGTAGAACTGCTCGATATCGCGAAGAATACGGATGTCATTCTTCTCCACTGCGGCCAATGCGGTGGATGTACAACTCGCGATTGTTGGGCAAGTCATAGCCACCACGGACACCTGCCACACATCCAAACCACGACCCCAGGAGTCCGTCAAAATCAACACGCGGCTGGAACCAGAGCGGAACTCTTGCATGGCATCTCTCTTCTTCCGAGGCATATCACCATGGATGTGATTTTTTGGCAGCATCTTTGAGGCCAACCAATCTATCTTCTGCGGAGTGTTGCAGAAAATCAATGCCTGCGTGGGTATCAAACAGGTCGCAAAAGGTATCGATTTTCCACTGCTCGCGCTCCACATCGACGAAGAATTGCTTGATTCCTTCCAGAGTCAACTCATCGCGCTTGACCAAAACGTGGATGGGGTTGTTCATAAATTTGCGCGTCATCCCCAGCTTCATGCGGCATGGTCGCTGAAACCAGAACCACCTGCGTGGAAGGTGGAAGGTATCTGTAATTAGATGTCATAGACTTGTTCCTTGAAGCCCCCATTGAGCATCTCATCAGCCTCATCCAGCACCAGCATCTTGATGTGACGGGTGCTGAAATGTCGCTGAATAATCATGTAGAGACATGCTTGCCTCCGATGCACAAGTGCACCTGAACGTTCAGGTAGTCACCTGCCAGTTCTCGTGTGGAACAACACCTGGGGCTCTCGAGAGGTGGTGTCAACACTCAGCAAGGCTCCCAAGCAGAACACGCACGTCTTTCCTGTTCCACTCTGAGGTTGGACGATGACATCTCGGCACGCTGCTGCGCTGCTGCACGGCGGATGGTCGCTCAAAACCGTAGGCATAAGCACCTCGAAGCAAATCTTTCAGGCCCAGAGCATCGAATGGCAAGACCTCCACATCCTCGGAGGTTTCGAAAATCAAACCTTCGTCGTCGGGACCTTTAGACATGGCCTCGACCCTTTCGGATGCTATTTTCAAGCGCAATTACTATTTTTGGGCCACGATCTTGAGCCAAAATGGCTACGGCTACGGAGTTTGGCATTGGACTAGAAAACACAAAGAGAAGCAAACCCATGAAACACAAATCTAATCACAGAAGCCAGACACTTCATAGAGTGCATTGAGCAACTGCTTCACCTGCAAATAGTTGGGGATCTCCAGATTTCTGATCTGCAGATTTCTTTAAGCTCATGGCGCGGTATGCAAGAAGTAGAACCTGCATAAGCATGCGCCAGCAACCATCTAGGCGTTATAAAAGTTGTTGGCCCTTGAAGCCTTCTTCTCTTCGTTCTTGCCATTCACGAGATCTGAATCCCGTGTGGTTTCAACTCAGCCCCAAACTACTTTTGATCTATACTCCAGCAATATATGACTGGTGATTGGGCGTTGTTGGTTTATTAGGATAATCATATTATATAATTATAGTGTATATATTACATATTATATATGCATATATAATCATATATATATATTCTCATAATATATAAATTGGATCCAACCGTTCCAACCATCAAACCAGATCCGCCACGGGGCCGCAGCCTGCCGGGGCGGCTGCGGCTCTCCAGGCGCTGCCAGCCGTTGGCCGACAGGGCCTGGAGCCCAGCAAACCTGGGAGAGATGATGGAAATTCTGGTAGAATCTGGTAGATATGTACATGATATTGCTATCATAATCATTTACCAAAAATACCAAGACGTATCTGAGATAGATAGACAGACAAACTAGCAGGCAGACAGATAGACAGACAGACAGACAGACCGATAGATAGATAGATAGATAGATAGATAGATAGATAGATAGATAGATAGATAGATAGATAGATAGATAGATAGATAGATAGATAGATAGATAGATAGATAATAGATAGATAGATAGATAGATAGATAGATAGATAGATAGATAGATAGATAGATAGATAGATAGATAGATAGATAGATAGATAGATAGATAGATACTACGTGCTATTACTATCGTTGGATTCATTAAATCCTAATTGTGATTCTTAATGATTCTATACATATTATTCTTATGTTCTAATGGTTGATAGCCACTTACTGAGGCGGTTTTATATTGTCCTACTGGATTATAAGCCGCGTTAAAACAATTGATACAGCCCCACTACTAAAGGTTACCACCTCTAAACCTGCAGCTAGGTGGATCAGCGTGGCCTCCAAAATGGGTGTGGTTGTCGGCTATGTAGCTATAAACTATAAATGGTGGTTACAACCCCAATGAAGTGGAAGTAGGGAGAGCCCATCCAGCTGGCGAAGATTCAAATCTAGATGTTTGACAATGAGTCGATAGCGGTCGATACCCGAAAAGCACATGGCGCGAATGCTGTCGATCTGTGCAGCAACCACCTCCACCACCCAGCGTGCCTCCAAAGAATCTGCGGGTTGGCTGCACTGCCCTCAGGAAGGACCCAGCTTTACACCCAATGATCTTCATCAGCCCGGGAACATGGTGCTGATCTTAACAATTGTGGATTTGGGAAATCCTACACTATCCATGCTCGGATATCATTGGAAAGTCGGTCCCAACTTCCTATCTATCTGTCTGGCTTGCAACATCTTGTATCAAGCCCCTTCTCCAACTAATTCTCTAGTGTTAGAATAGTAAAAAGTAGAAGCTTGGGACGTGATCCCCTTCTGTGAGTAGCTAAGGGCACCAAAAACCTTGTTCTGCCATTCGAAATGATGCAGTCGAGCTGCTCTGCCTGGCAAAGTGATGGGACATCGTGGGACAGAGTCTGCAGGGGTCCGCATGCGGGGTCTGGGCGTCATGTTGGTATGTTAAGTTCATACGGCACTGGACACGCAAAACTGCCAAATGAGCTTCAGGCCTGTGTGTGTTGCCTGTGTGGAGATGTTCAGCCGAAACCACATGGCCTTGTGAGGCTTGTTGTGTGCTTTCCACGCCTTATCAGATGCCTTCTAGACTTCCAAACATGTCATTTCTGCACATTGAATTTCCTGTCACGGGCCCTTTCTCCCTGAAGCTTGCAGCCCATTCCCAAACAACCATCTGGGGCAAAAGAATGCATGTTATCGGCAAGGCACATATGCCGCATATGCCAGCCTTCTTGATTCTCAGGTGGCAGACAGTGTTCTGGCAGTCCCCAAGCTCCCTGGCTCGTGTACGTTGCCCAATCCGGGTCCCTCATCAAATGGACAATGTTGATACATTTTGGATCATTTTGGTGCATGTCACCTATCCATACCTATCCTGTATTCCCAAGTTTGAGACACAGTCCCGTCCCGCTCGACACTGCATGGAAACTGTGCCAATGAAGTTTGAAACACCACAGGCCAAACAGCTTTATCAGGGACTCCCAAAATGATTAAATCATAAGCTCCTGCAAGATGAGACTCCTCACTGTGCCCACTTCTGCTCGCCACCTTTGCCTTCTTGTTGGGTATTGTGGCAACTTTGGCCTCCCGTGCACAAGGAAGATGAAGTGCTGTGAATATCTGCGAATTCTAAGATCCTGAATCGGTGAAGGGTCGTTGGTAACTTCTGGTGGCTTCAGTGGCATCCCAGATAGTTTCCAAACTTAGGCAGGTACAGTACTGCTGAGTCATTTCAGCATTGATATGAAACCAACTACATCTACCGCACCCTCAGCGCATTCCGGCTCCATGGGACTTTCATGAACAGGAGAACAATCAACGTCTGTCACAAAACTGTCACAAAAATCACTAAAAAAAACCTCGACTTTCAAAATCTTTTGGGACCTTGAAGATGTCTGAAGGGTTTGGGCCCAGTTTGGGATTGAGACCTCCAGATCTTTGGCAGTGACCATGACCAGGCGATGTGGCACCTTCCCTGGTCGCCTTCCCAGATTCTGTCGCTTCTGCGCCTTCGCTGTTCAGGTGAAGATAGGATGTCTGGCAGAGATGGTCCCATCTACTACAATCCTCCGAGAAATGTAGGAATTGTGTGGGACTGTGTGGTATCAGACAATATGGACTATGGCTCAAGGTCGTCAAACGTGAGCTCTTGGCCGACACTTCAACCCCGTACCTGCAAGATCTCTGACAGACCTGATGAGCAATCGGAAAATCACGGAGTTGTTTCCACATTAGCAACTGGTAGAATCTCTTGTAATCTCTTGTAATCTCTTGTAATCTCTTGTAATCTCTTGTAATCTCTTGTAATCTCTTGTAATCTCTTGTAATCTCTTGTATCGGAAAGGGAAAAAAGACTTTACCGACTTTGCCGTTTCAATGGAATGGTCCGATCCTAGGCGGGTCAAGGAAAAAAATGCCCAGCCAGGTCAGGAGCTTTTGGTATATAGATGACTCATGTTTGGCAAGCAGTCTGGCCGTTTCGCCAGTCAAAATGTGCACAACAAAAACTATGTTTTCGCTGAGCTTCCGGCTACGACGACGCTTGGCAAAGTCAGAGTGCTCCCGATCTGCCTACAAAGGCAAACAAAGGCCAAGAAAAACTGGATCTTTTTGAGAAACCAAGCACATCATTTTGTTTTCGCTTTTGGGATACTCCTCCCATCACCATATTCTGTACTGTTTTCCAACCCGTGTCACACGCTTCCCATCCTAGAGATGCACAAGGTGCCATCAAATCATGTTCTCCACACACTTCCCGGCCCATCTTGAAATGATCTATTTGGAGGGTCACCTACGCTTGAAAAAAAATATGTGTGAATCCTTCATTTGCCCCAATCCACACTTGATACCTACCCGGGACCTACCCATAATATTGAGCTTAATAATGCTTAATATATGTGAAGGATCACCTATTCCTATGCCTATGCTTCTCTATGATTGTCTATGTATATCATCGTACCCACTTATATCCCATCCACTACAATCCATCATTCGTTACCCAGGCATCCTCTGCAGCATCTTCGGGATCCATGTCCTGGTCCATCTCTCGCCCCTGCGTGGAATGCCCATTTGATGCATGATTTCCTAAGTGAAAATCGGTGAAAATGGTGGGGCATGTCATTCACCCACTGGTTGCTTTGGGTGGCAAACGTGTACCACCCGCCAGCCTTGTAGCACGTGTGGCTGTTAGGTTCCTGTACAGTGGCATTGGGGCTGGGGATCTTGACTTTTGGAGCCATGCATCCATAGACTGAAAGTTGAGCTTTGACATTTTGGTGGCAGGATGCAAGTCTGGATCAGAAAACGCCTTTTTGTCCCAAAGTCCAGGTTCGCTGGCCAGGAAGGCCGTTTTCAGTGGCGGTCGCCCTCAAATCTATCCAGCAAAGTAATGAGGATCCAATGAATCTAATGAATGCCGTTCTTGCAATTTCTTGCACTCTGATAGTGCCGACTTTCGAGCTGCAGACATTCCATTAGTAGCTCCTTGCGGTCCTTGCAAGGCATCAAAGGCCTGCTGTCACCAAGATCAACGTTCAGCTGCACCGGCTGCCCAGGAGGTCGAGCTTCGAAGTCAGAACGCTCGAGGCTATGGGAACCACAGAAAGTGGCAAATGAGCCATCGCTTCATCAATCCGCATCCGCATCATTCACGGAGTCACTGTGTCATATGTGTCATTCAAGATCATTGAAGCATGGAACAAGAATCGCTTTCAGTCATCTGCTCTTCACATTGCTTTGTCACCCAGAGCTTGGATGATTGCAAGCACTCGCCATCAACTTTCGTAGACTTCCAATGTATCCCAGGGAGCTGCAGAAAGACTTCCTTGTCAAAGAAGTCACGCGGACCTTTCCGAAAGACCGACAAGACGTTGGCTTGTTTCGACTTGTCCAAGTGGGGCATGATCGAGATCATCTCAGGAACAATTTCCTCTGGCAAAGTCAAGGATTCGCCTTACATGCTGTTGCGTGTTGTAACATGTTGTGACCCCCGATGTCCCCACAATTGGAAGGCAAAATCATATTTTGGACATGCTCACTTGTCAGGCTGCCTTATGTTCTTCAGTGTGAGCCACTTACTCAGAACACATTGAGAATGGAATGCTGTTCTCCTGATTCAAGGCACATGAACACACTGTTGAATCATGCTATCTCTGATCTCGAACGGGGCAGGTGCTGAGGTTGAAAGCACAGAAGGTAATTGGTTTGATGGCATGCCCAGGCATTTTTCATCATTTTGCTGGCAACCACAAGGTCTACCACAAGTGAGCCGCATGCCTTCTGAATTCAAACGCCCATCGCCCTGTCACACCCAGACACGTGCCAGCAGGTCGTCAAGAAGTTCCCAAAAGGTTCTTACCTCATCTGAGGACCACTGGTATGCAGGACGATGAAGTGAGAGGTTCATGATCTCGTATCCAGCTGCACCTGCACATGGCAGGTGCGACATGCACTGGCGGATGCTTATCAGGCTGCAATACCAATGCTGGGCACATCCCGCAGAGGGATAACTCCATATACCTTGATTGTCCCTAACATGTTGGCATGGCTTGTAACTCCAGAGGGCTGACCAGTTGACAACATTTAATTTGACAACCAGGTAAGTTTCCACGCTCTGGTCCTGGCCTGCCAAAGCCTGAAAGAACCTGGGCTCGTAGTCCACCGCGCCATGTTTTGCCCAGCACCCAGCTGCTGGGACCATGTTGATGATCAGCCCATCCCGCCGAACCAGCTGGTGGATGTTTCGAAAGGCCTATGGCAGAGACGATTGCACTTCAGATTTCAGAAAAGCGTACCCGAGAACCATACGCAGATCGTCAGGACACAAAAGACATCCACGCAGGCCACATCCACTTCACATCACAAACAATCGACCACATTAAACTCATGACACTCTCGGAAATGCACTAACTGGATCCAACTAGACTAATCATGTGCCGCCTCATATTGAGAACTCCACAAGTCTTTCAGCTCGAAATCCGCGGGAGCATTGATGTACTCGCTCTCCTTTCTTGCCAACGTATCTCAAGCTGATTTTGCTCATGGGTATCTCGCTGCTACACTAATACAGGCTAGATCATGTCAATCTTCGTCTTCCATCATTGGCAAGTGTCCTGCAAACTCAAAAGAGATCAGGAGGCGACAAAATTATACCACAAAGAACATGCCATTGCTTGCTGTCCAACATATTCCCACCGTCCCCAAACGTTGAGGGCCCCACCCCGACATGCTCCGTGGTGCCGAAGTTGGTGACCACATCACAGCTACCCAGAAGGGACACATTCAAGGGCCTCAGCTGGAAACTGTGGAGCCAAATGGAAGATCCAGAATTCATTGACAAGTCATTGTGACTTATCAAGGTTGCTTTCAGCAGAGATCGGCAAATTGATTCATCGATTTTCTACGTGGAGGCATCCAACATGCAACACCAATAAGTCGGTAGCTTGGTTCTTGCCGTGAATCATTTTCAAGGGCAAGATTGAAACTAATTACTGAACTTAAGAGTTGTAAAAAATAAGTTTAAGAATGGCCAACCCCATATCACACAAACTCTGAGAACTTCGCAACGAACAGTGGCCATGTCCACTGGCGAACCTCTTCTTGACTAAATTGACCGGTTTCACTTTGATTTCAGCGGAATTGCCATTGTATTCCCAGGAATCCCTGCCTGGAAAGGTCTACCACCACAGCGCCATCACGGCCATTGATGTCCAGGGAGGTGTGTCTGAATCCAAGGCGCTCAAACACCTCGCGACTCATAGAGCCCACGGTGAATCTGCCATGAAATGCATCATGAAATTCATGGACTTTCAACCATTTTTTTGAGGTGGCAAGAAGTTTCACGGTGATCAAGAAAATATTGTTAAAAATTGTGGTTGCATGCTGCATGTCCTGAGTTGTATATTGTTACTACATAATCGACAGATGTTGATAGCCACTTTGCCCAGTGTGCTTAGAGGCTTAGAGAGTGCTTAGAGAGTGCCTAGAGAGTGCCTAGAGAGTGGGTTGTCTCAGTTGTCTCTGGCCTTTTTGGCACTGGCAATGGTTGGAGATGGGCTGATGGACAAACTCTGCAGGATGCTCAGCAAATCTCGGAGCTCCGGGCGGTAGCCGTGGGACGTCAACACACTGAGAGCCCCTTTGGTGATGCGTTGGTTCCCCAGCTCGCAGATGTGCACCGTCCCAGGTGGACTTCCTGAGCGTTGCGAGGACCATTCCAAGATATTCCAAGATATTCCAAGATATTCCAAGTACAATGTTCACCTCCTGGGCAGTCGATTTCAGCTGGTTTTCACTCACACTGGTTGTAAGTGGGTGGTAGGCCAACAGCCATTGCCCCACTCATGGTCGTAGAGATCTCCACACTTTCCATGCCGAGTTTCTGTAGCGACTGGTGATGGAAGACAAAATGGCAGCCACGCCAAATCGATCGATGCCCATTGCTGCAATCCATGGCAGAATGAAGTTGGCCAAAAATTTGGTGGGAAATGCTGGATATCCAGAGCTATTGTGCATGGCTGAAGATTTTGTCCTCAACAAATAAGGATGAATGTTGTATGAATTTGCGCCAAAATCATTGGCTGAAGGTGGAGTGCTTAGCACAATTGGCTTTGATCCTGGCAGCAACACCAGCTCTTGAAAAAAACGGACTGCAATCAAAAGTCTGAAGAAGCTTGGTCATTTGGGGCAGCTACACACCTGACCTCCTCTAAACCGTTCACCACTCTGGTCAGTCCATCAAGCCTGGTTCTTCCTGGTCTTGAGATGGCCATCTGCCTGTCGAACGCCAGGCAAACGTGCAAGAACTGGAGGCTGGCCATCAGAGTGTGTTCCCACCCAACTCAAATGCTCGCATGGCACCCATGCAATTCAATCGCCCACTGACTTTTGGTGCATGTGGAATGAAGACGCAATTCTTCACGCATCTTCACACGTTCTTTGATCTGCAAACGGGCCGTTTTGGTCCGCACAGCTGCATGACTGTGGGACCGGGCATGACTGTCCAGCAAAAGCGATTTTAAATCTGGGATCTGTCCAACTGTCCTCAACCATCTCGAGGAGACTTCACAAGGTCGGTGCTGGCACAATAATATGAACATGTATGAACCCTATGCTGTGGGATCGGATTTCTGGCGTGAAGACACCGTGGGGCAGCCCATGTCTTGAATAGGCCACGACAGTTGGGGTTCCTGAATATTTTGCACTTTGACGGACGATTCAGAAGTACACAAGGTGGGTCTATTTTTTTTGTGTGTACGTGGTCTGGGTCTTGATATCAATCACTAGGAATCCTCGCAGTCCTAACACATATCACCAATCCATAGCAATCCAACATAGAAATCACTTCCTGCTGGACGGAGGGGACGGATTCGCATCCGTCAAACCCATCAGCTCCATATATCTTTCGAAGCCCTTCAGCACCACGTCATTGTGGCCTGGCAACAGCTGTAGCCACGTCAGGGAATGGATATCCTTAATTTCAGGACGCTCAAGATATGACATATCAACACCTTTGGTCATTAGTCTTCTTTCCAGATTGGTGAATTTGACTTCCTCAAGATAACTGGGTAAGTCATAGTTCCACGCGCTACACTATGTTGTCGAAGTATTCGGCTATAACACCTAGTGATTTCATGTGATTTCGGGAGAGTTCGCACCCAGACAGCCACATCCTGTCTAGGGGCATGTCGAAATATAAGGATCAAATCAGAGAGAAGGTGAATCATTCGACAACGGTGTAACATCAAAAAATGAATGAATCTGGCAGTCTGGCATAGCCGCAAACATGTTTGGGCCATGCGGCATATGTCACAATAACAATCTCTTAACATTCTTGCGGGTCACCACTGTTCCTTTTGTGTGGAGAAGGCGTCTTTAAAAAAAGGAAGCGTTTTTGAACAATGGCAAAAAACAAGCCTATGATAGCCGATAGCCTATGGGCCTATGATTTTCAAGAAAAAACGCATCTGAAGAATAAGAAGCTGTGTTGGTTCCATAGAGTGCAGTGAGTGGAGTGTCTCCAACGGCCCGCCTGCACGAGGGATTTCACTGAATGCGTCATCGCGAAGTTTACTCGCTTCCTGCAAATGTGTGCAAGCCGAGGAACCAATCAACTTTGCAGTGGCCCTTCTTGCAAGTGAAGGATGAAAATCCACTTTGTTCACATCTTGCGGGGTCACCTAGTGATGGATCTAAACTGTCTAATTAGACATTCTTTGCTGTCTGATTCGGACGGAAAGCGAGCAAACTCTCAACGCTGAATTGACAATATATTGCATCGAGTAGTAGCATTCATCCATCAGTCCCACTTGGAAATGTCACGGAGGTTGCAATATGAGCGCTTCAAACAGCATCACTCTGCGAACCACTTCTCTCTCTGCTCATGATACTCTATTGGACATCCCACGTACAACTGTGCATGTACCCTAGGATGGTCGCAGTATCTCCAAGTTAGCTGAGGAATACTTGGTGTTCTGTCACCCTTTTGCAGACTCTCGGCTCACACCACATCCTACCTTCTGAGATAGGTTTGCAAGCGTCTGACCCATCTGCGATGGGATCAATTCGTCCTGGATTTCCCGACTGAAACAAATCTCATGATTCAGAACATTAGGCTGTCAAATCACTATTCACGAAAATGTTTCCTGAATCTTCTTGATACTTTTCATGAGGGCAAAACAAACTATCCTAGAATCTTGAGCGTGCAAGTTGGAAAGGACTTTGTGACGTGTTACGAATCAATGCCACTGCGCCAAAAAAGAATTCATGACACCAAAAGAAAACACATCCCAGCTTGCAACATTTACTGGCTTCCATAAGACTCTACGACACACAGTACTCTCTCCTTGATTCTGCCCCATGAGACTCCAACCACCCTCTGGGTCCTGCGCACCATGTAGAACATGGATTTTCCATCCGGCCTGCCAGGAGTCTAATTTCAGTGCAGGGAGAATCGGTGAAGCCAACTGCCCAGTATGGTCCCCCACACGAACTGACAGCAAACTGCTGAAGCCCTCGAAAGACATCAATTCGACCCTTGAGGATTCCTTCCATCAGCCACCACCGCTGTTCAACTTGGATCATGACGCTAAATCATGAGAATCGGGATTAAACGAGACAAAATATTCGGATCCAGCATGGTGATAGAGCTTACACCACCTTACACCACAAATTTTGGCAAAAATCAAGACGCCCCAAAAGAATCCAAAAGCCTTCCATGGATAGTCCCATCCAGCGCACCTTGGTGGCCTGCCTCACTGACTTGCCGTTGTCCCAGCGATGTGGCACAATGGGCCACCTCAGCGGGGACAATCCTTCAGACTCACAGTCTACCCGGTTTACCCTTGTGGAAGGTTCAACATTCACTCACACCCACTTTCAACATTGTTCAAAATATGTTAACGTCTTTCAACATTGTTCAGCATATTTCAACATTTGTCAACACTGTGTCAACATCTCTCAACATCTTTCGACATTGTTCGACATAGTTCAACATATTTCAACATCTTTCAACATCTTTCAACATGGTTCAACATCTCTCAACATCTTTCAACATGTTGCAACATGCTCAACATGTTTCAACATGTGTCAAGTCAAGATGTTGCAACATATTTCAACATCGTTCAACTAGTTTCAAAATTGTTCAACACCCTTCAACATGGTTCAACATTGTTCAACATCCGTCAACATTTTTCAACATCGTTCAACACATTCAACATTGTTCATCATCGTTCAACACCTTTCAACATCTTTCAACATGTTTCAGCATTTGTTCAACATCTTTCAACATGGCTCAACATCTTTCAACATGTTGCAACATATTTCAACATCATTCAACTAGTATCGAAATCGTTCAACATCTTTCAACATTTTTCAACATATGTCAACCTCGTTCAACATATGTCAAATTCTTTCAACATCTTTCAACATCGCCCAACATTTTGCTACATCTTTCAACATCTTTCAACATCAACATTCAAAAAACAAAAACAAACCTTCTGGACGCACCAAGCCCTGCAGTCAGGCAACAGAAGCGAGACCAGCCACGGCTTCAACCTGGACGAAACAATGCATCCAAATCTCGAAGGGAGTAGCTTGCTACGTGGTGGGGTTCATCATGGGTTTTTCACGCTTGAGATTAACATGGTGTAAACATAATTATATAACATATTAACCTCAGAATCACCAAAATCAGTGGGAACCCAGCGCCATGTGCACCTCACCTCCTCCCAAGGGTGGCCAGGGACCCAGAGGATGGTAAGAGCTTTTCCAGCGTCTGCTCCTGTCCAAGTCGCCGGGCAGCAACTAACCAGGTCTCCTTCAAATCCGAGGTACCAACTCGGTATGCCAAAACCATCCAAACTCTGTAGCGATGCCTCTAAGCGGGGAAACTTAAAAATCTTCAAATGTTTTACAGTAGTTTTTGGGTCTCTTCAATCTCGGCCTTCCAAAGGGTTCCCCGATAGTTGTACGTCTTCTATAGAGAAGACCAACAAGCTTGTAGAATTCTACCTATCGTGGATTCAAACACCAGCTGACAGGGGCGACTTCTGTTCTACAATGACAGAGCTTTAGGCCGAAAGGTTTCACCATCTTTGCGCAAATTGGCACTAAAGTCTGTATGTGATGTCAGGTGAACCACACATTCTTTGATTCATTCACAAGACGTGCTGTTTATTTGCTGCTTGTAAAGATGATTTGTTTGATCACTCTGACAGCACATCAGCATCCATCTCCTGGAAAGGTAAGACATCTACCGCAACAGCGTAGAGTTTGGGCAATCCAGTGGACAGCCTCAGTTGTCAGGATCGGACGGGTAGTGTCCAGTCCCTGCAGATTCAGATCCTAGGTGAGTTGGGCGCCCGGCAAAACGCTTAAGAGTTGAACGGCCATGTGAGGGATGTCGATGAAGGGTGCAGAAAGCACCAAAAGACCTGGATTTTGGTCATCTGGCTCTCTGGCGCTCTCTAGCTCTCCACAGTGACCACTCTGTGGGTGGATGAGATACATGTTTTATCATACTCGGATCACTTGGTTGGATGCTTGAACTGAGTGGGTTCAAATACTATCATCTCCTGGTGGGTTCAAATACACCGGGGATCGGAGTAGAGTAGAAGTTCAAGGTCATTGCTTCCGATATCTTTTTGAGTCGCCATCCACCCTTTGAAGCTGCCTGGCCCACTCGGCAGGTCCCAATCTGCAGCTAACCTGGACGTGGCAAAGGCTATCGGCATCAAGAGATCGAACTCCAACATGAACAGGTGGAGCAATTAGCATCGCCCAAGTTGGGTCATGGACCCAATCCTTGCTTCAATGTCTGGTACGAATTTGTTGATCAGTGTTACTCCAAGACTCTCATCCATTCAAACCCAACTTGTGGTGAATGCCCATCTCTCTCCGTCATCGCAATGAACGGATCGGTGTGCACTTCGAGGCTCGAGGCCCTGACTGTGCTGCAGCTGCGGCCCCAAGGGAATGACCTCAATGGCTCAGCCGATGTGCTAATGTCCAGCCCACCAGCAAGGTCCACCCTGTGATCCTGTCACCCGGTCGGTGCTGGGCGTCCCGACCCAGTAGCTGCACCTGCACCGTGGGCAGCTTTTCTAAGGTCGCCTCCAGCGCCAAGTGCGAACTTTTCAGCACACTCGCCGGAGATGGCTCGCCTGCATGGTGTGGCATGAAAGGCAAGGCATTGATCAAAAATGACAGGCACGAATGGCGCGAAAGGCAAAAACTGCTTCAGTTGCTTTTCATGTGTTTTCCTCATCGAATGCTGGTCCAACATCTCAGTAGGCTACATTGGGGCTACATCTTTAGTGCAACGTTGTCTGGCTCAATGACGATGCTGTCTCTATCGGTTTCGATGGTCTGCAGAAACAGGACCACCTCGGTGTGATTGCCACTTACCGGCTGCGCCATGTTGGGCGCTGAATGGCCCTTCTCCGTTCGTGCTTGTGCAAGGGTCAAGGGTGTCTCTCCCATGTCTGTCAAGGCATCTGGATCAGATCCGAACTTCAAAAGGTCCTGCGTGGATCCCGGCTCCCAGGTGAAGATCACAAGCACCTACTAAACCGTACTAGTACTAGTCAAGATAACATTGTGGCGGGAAAGATTCAAAACGGCGAGTAGCCTGCGTTATGAATTCATCAGTTTCCATCATCTTATCTCAAACTCCCAGACAGTCCAGAAGCAGAACCAGATGTGATTAATCAGGTTCCTTGCAAACCAACTTTCTCCCCCAACCTCTGTCCTTCACAATGTGCAAATGCCCTGCTTCAGCAGCAAAGTGCAGGGGCGTGTTGCGCTGCAATGACCGACTGTTGGGATCCGCCTTTTGTTCGATCAAAAAGGCAACCAAGTCAGGATGCCCCCGCCAGGCTGCCCAATGCAAGGGTCCAGCACCGCTGCCAGTGTCGCGGTTGTCCTCCCCAAAATTTGCACCGCTTCGGATCAACACGTCCGCAGTAGCCTTTTGTCCCCAGAAACAGGCCCAGTGCAGTGGATCTCTGCCCATGGAATCCCGAAGATCTCGGTTGGCTCCGCGGGCCAGCAAGGCCTCCACACATGCTACGTGACCATTCCGCGCTGCACCATGCAAGGCCGCTGAGGACTGACGCCGTTCGGTGGGGTCTAGCAGGGCGCCGTGGTCCAGGAGCAGCTCCAACATGTCAGTGTGACCGTGAAAGGCCGCCAAGTGCAGCGGCATGCGCCCATCGTGATCCCGAGCTGAAACACTGGCACCATGCTGCAACAAGAGCCTGGCGATATCCACATGCCCTTGTCCTGCTGCTACATGAATGGCTTGCTGCCCCTTGTCCGTAGCCTCTATGTCACAAGATTCCACAATCTCACGCAAAGCTTCAAGGTCCCCTGCGGCCACAACACTGTGGAGTTTCTGCTGAGTGGCGCGCACAGCCTCAAGGGCATCCACCTGAGACTGGCAATTGGGATCCCATCAAAATCATTTTCTAACCAAACACCAATGATTGGATGCATAAAACTTGTCGGTTAGGGACCAATCATTTCTTTCAGATCACCTCCTGTTGGGAGAAGCCCACGTCTGCAGCCAGGTCCTCCAGATTCTCAAAGACCTCTTCGCTAGAGGTGGCCCCTTGCTCCTGGCTGACAATCCTTCAAAAGGCAAACATGGTTCTGTGAAAATACGCAACATGATACAATTTATAGAATTAAACATATGTATGAGGTATGTACATATGTAAATTTAAGTATATATTATATACCTATATGTGTGTGTATGTACGTACGTACGTACGTACGTAGGTAGGTAGGTAGGTAGGTAGGTAGGTAGGTAGGTATGTATGTATCTACTATGTATCTACTATGTATCTACTATGTATCTACTATGTATCTACTATGTATCTACTATGTATCTACTATGTATCTACTATGTATCTACTATGTATCTACTATGTATCTACTATGTATCTACTATGTATCTACTTATGTATCTACTATGTATCTATTATGTATCTACTATGTATCTACTATGTATCTACTATGTATCTACTATGTATCTACTATGTATCTACTATGTATGTAATATGTATGTACTATGTATGTACTATGTATGTACTATATATGTACTATGCATGTACTATGTATGTACTATGTATGTACTTGGTATGTCTGTGTATTTACTGTGTATGTTTAATATGTATATATATATAGTATAGTTGGCAATTGGATAATTGGATAGACAGTTAAAATGTCTATGCATGTGCATGTATGGGATGGATGGATGGATGGATGGATGGATGGATGGACGGATGGTTGGATATGCATATGAGAATTCATTTTTACATCGCAGGATCTTGCAGTCGTGCTCATCATCATCATCATCATCATCATCATCATCATCCAAAACAGTTGTCGGACATTCTTCCATCTAACGGATGCAGCAGAAACTAATCCAAAGTCCAGACCATGTCCTCTCAACCTCATTACAAAAAACACGAAGTGAGAAACAGTTCATCCCAGCTCCTGACACCAATCTAAGACTTTGGATTGGAAGTCGCCAAGGTTGGCCTTCTCCATGAACTTCAGAAGCTCTTCGAAGTCCTCTCCTTCAGGGACCGCTTCGCTGGCGGCCCTCACAATGAGGGTGCTAGGTGACCTGCGCCCATCATCCCTCCACCAGCTATGCCAGCTATGCTTTCTGGTGGCACCTTCGATAAAGGAAAGTTGGTAAAGTCGTCCGAACAGACCCAGCAGAATGATCAGTCGAAACCAACGCCCATCCACTGGCCCCTTTGCAGTCTTCGTCATGGCTTTGCGGCGGACTTTTGAGATCTGCAAGGGCTGTGTTCAAATTAGCAGAAGTGTCCTTTTTCGCCCTGAAAAGTGCATTGACTCCTAACTCCTGATGCTCAAACATCATTTTACATGGAGTTCAGCTGCCAACCCTCATCAGCTTTCAGATGCATTTGGATGATCAGTTCTCTGATGCTGCTGTTTCTATTGTGAGCTTGATGCTTTGCCTTGATCGAAAATCATGCACACGTACGGAGAACTAGGAGCTGCATGCTCTAGATTGTGCCCCGGTTTGTCGTTCCCCTTTGTGGACCTGTCTTTGGTGTGACATGCCAATTGTTGCAGCCCTCCTCCCCACACCACCTGCATTGCGGCCATAACCAGGGTAGTCCACCAACAGGAAAGCATTGGTGGTCCTGGGCAGCCAGGCCAGGCAGGCCAGACTCTCAAACCTCTGCGCTTAAGCCCGGTAAGCGGACAACAAGGCTTAATACTGGACTTTTTTTAGACCTCAAGCAATAAAACAAGCAATACAAAGGAGGTCAAAGCATCCATTTGCATCCAGGTGCATGTGTATGCAGGGATGATGAAGCAGAAGTTGCAATATCGCTGGCACAAAGGGAATGAGCGCCACTACGCACTCACCCTTCAAAGCACCATTCTACATAAAATCCCCAGACAAACAAGCAATCAAACTGACCGAACATTGCCGAACTCAACCCAGTACAACCGCTTGAATATTCACCATGGTTTTCACAACCTGTTGCCACAACCTGCCAACCCGCCAACCTCGAAGTGTGGGTCAGCACCTGAGCCAGAACTGACTGTGAGTTCGGCAAGTCTTCAGATACAATTACAACTACATATAACATCATATAACTACATGATTTAGAATTGACAAATATCTAGACACAATACCAAAACCTCTAGTCTTCAGCGGGGATATATCGGTGTATCAGTGCGCGCGCGGCGTATCGGTGTATCGGTGCAAAAAAACTTTTAGCGGACCCCAATCCCCAACGCTATGCTATCATTATGCTATCATTGTTTGCTTGGAGTCAGAGGAACAGCTCCCTACAGTGGTAGCCACAAACGCTGGATCGCCACTGCACCTTGTCGCAGAACATCAGCCAATCTCTGGCAAGCATAGCATTGCCGCCAAAGAAAACCCACAATGTATCGATATCGCCTGGACATCGGCCAGAAGAGGTACTGTCAGGTACCGTGAATTGTGGAGCTTCAATGGACCTTCTGTGGTGTTTCAAGCGGAACAGAAATCTGGAGAGTCATGCAAATGAGCAGAACTGGCTTTTGAAGAATCATAGGGATGTTCAGAACTGGCTTTTGAAGAATCATAGGGATGTTCTGATAGAGATGTCGGCAATAGCAGCTACCAGGGCGGCACACCGCCTGAGGGTCTCAACAAATATGCTGTTTGTGAGCCAACTTCTGGCAGGTCGTAGGACACTGTCTGCAAGGAGTACCTTGGTGTAGAGATAAAATCAGCTCTTTCACGTCGCCCTGCAATTGGGCCTGATGGTTGGTTCTTTTGGGATTACTGGAATCACCTAGTATAGGATATTGGCCCATGTAAGCTGGGCTCATGTTTGCTTCCAAGGTCGTTGACGTTGGATACCATAAGACTGTTCAGAGAGCCCATTCCCTAAGGCTCTAAGATCTGTCAGAAAGCCCAAGACTTGCGAGCTGATACCCATCATTTGAGAGTGGTCAACGCTGTGATAAAATGTGCGATTCTCCTCTCACATATATGTGCGAAATTGTTTGAGAACTGGAATCAATTGCGACTTCAATACGTGAAACAGCCATTGCAAAGTGTTCGATTTTGCCAGGCTGGCATGTTTGGAATGTTTGGATGCATCTCAGCTTGAAGTGGAATGATGTGACACCAACCACTTGGCTTCTTTTCAACTTGAAAATGGTACGTCATGCTGATGTCCAAACTCTCCTGTCACTTGCATTCCAAGCTGCTCCACATCAGCCAAGTCCCAAGTCATCTCCATGAAAGACAGGTCCTTGGTGATCACACCACTGTAGAATTCTGTAGATTGTGGATCAGTGGATCAATCCGCTCCTCGACTCTGTCTGGTACTGGGCGGCCCCAACTCGACTCTTGCGAGGGTGGTACAACAGCAGAGCCTCCAACAGGCCTGCAAAGTACCTGCAGCTGCACATCCATTGCACACTCCTCCATTAGCTCATAAGCCATGAGTGTTGAACATTTGCACTAGGTCACTAGGCACCTTTGTAAAGTGGAACAGGGTTTCAACCATTTCACCTTTTCCTGCAAGGACTTCCATTACAGTAACAGAAACCAATTTGTTGTGTGAAATCCTGTCCACATCCCCATAGCGGCCATAGCGCCTCACACACCGGAAAGCTCCCACAAAGGCTCCCAGCATCGCCCCAAGGATCGGGGCAAAGAACAAGGAGCTGCCTAACGTCAAGGGTGCTCCAACGAATCCTCAGCAGATTTCGGAGGCGCTGGCAACCACTGCGTCTATGTGAGCTTCTGTGACACTCACCTTCAGAGAATCAGTGGAGGTTCAAGCCATTCACAAGGATCCTAAAATTCACAGAGACGGGATGGGAAGAGAGTGACACGAGATAGCAGCGTCTTTCTTGCTCCCTTTTGCGCAGTTGTGCGGAGTGCCTTCAATATTCAATAATGCGTCACTTAATTTCTTTTCATGCGCCAATCTCGTAGAGTGACCGTCCAACAAACAGTCGGACAAACAGGGGTACACCTGGTACACCTAGGCTTTCATGTTATGCTGGAATATTCAAACCAAAGTAAATGGCTGGCACATCATCGGTCCATTCGACCAATGACAAATTCCCACGCATTCCTCTAGTTGCTGTGGAACTCCCCTTGTCCTCTTGGTATCTCTTGGTGACGTGGTGAAATCTGTGTATTTCTGTTGCTTTCTGAAGTTGGATGCCCGTTTGGATGACTCCGTTGGACGGCGGATCTCGGGGTCCCAACTCAGCCCGGCGCCCAGCACGGCACCCAGCAGCGCTCCCAGCAGCGTGATGCACAGGATGCGGCCGAAGGCAGTGAGCAGCGACCAGGAGCCCTGCCGCCTTGGCTGACGAAATGGCGACCAAGGGGATTTGTGGATGATGATGATGATGATGAGGAGGAGGAGGAGGAGAAATGATTTTGCGAATCGCTTTCTTGCTGGATGATGCAAGGACATCGGTAGAAAGGTGCGAAGGATCTCGAACAACCATCCATCTGCTTCCTGGTCTTGGGTCACGGACACCAAAGGCCAAATGTCCGACGACTCTTGCATGGCGCAAACGTCTTCAGGATTACGTTTTACTTGAAGCTCCGATGAGGCTCAAGCGCTGCCATGTAAACAACCATGTCTTCGTTGTGGTTGGGGTACCTACCCCACATTCATCCAATGTGTATATATATATATATATATTGGTTTCTGCTGTCTTTCCAAGCTCCATTGACATTCCAAGATGTGCCCCAATGTTCTGCTCCCCCCAAGGACGGAGAGCTCTTAGGTGGGTTTGCTTCAACAGTGGGGAGTCCCCCAAACAACAGGTTCCAGCACTTTCCCCTTCAAACCATCTTGTGGAGGGGGTTGCAAAATGATTTGAGGCATACTTTACTTATCCCGTCTCGGCCCATTCGCCTTTTGGATTGCAGCTGACTCTTTAATCCATGTAGCGCTGTCCTTACTGATTTCGCACAGCTACCTCAGCTATTCAGAACTTGAACTCAAGAGAGAAAACGGCGGCAACGGCGCGGCAAGCAAAGTTTGAGTCCCCATGCCATGATGCTAACCATCCAGCAAGAATGCACTATGTATACCAATTCAAAGCAAAGGTCTTACTTAAGACTTACAGGTCTTGAAACCCAGCTACTTGTACTTAAAGGGGTCTCCAGCTCAAACAAGATACTGTAATTCAGCTGGCAATGGTTTATTTTTGTTGGTATGATTGAAATGGATGGTGGGACAATGTGGGACATGTGCACAAACTGCCAGCGACATGCCAAGACAGTCGAATATATTTATTGAAAACATGTCCAGACTATGCTATCAATCGTACATCCATCATAGACATACATCACAGGTTATATAAGTTATATACTACCAGTTACTAGTCTGCTCCATGAAGACAAAGAGCCACCCGCAATAAAAAGCCAGCGCCTCGGCAGCTGCCGGCCTGTCGTGACCACAGACCCTCCGGCTACACGTGAGTTTTGAAAGCTACATATTAGCTATTGCCAGGGGCCATCCATTTCATCATGGGAATCCTGAATTCATGTGTGTATAAATCCATATGGATTCAGGACCATCCCCCAATTGGGCAATGTGCGCAAGTTTTGACCAATTCACATATCATTGAAATAAAAAATCCTTGGATGATACAACTTCTCTCAGCTCTAAATGCCGCCTCGGCATTCATTAGTACTTCTTTTTCATGCGCTGATCCGCCAATGCAAACCACCCGAGCCACAAAAGCTCTGTGAAACACCAAGCAGAGAGAGCTGCCATAGACTGAATACAATACCCAAAACAAGTGATGTTTCCTCAATGGAATCACAGGGTTTCATCTACCGCTTGATATCTCGTAGATTCAGCTCCACCTGACAGCCCTTGAGGAGCACGGGCAGCGTCCGTCGTTATGCTACATTGCGTGTCACATCCTGGTCGACCCCGCTGGCTATGAGCCACCCATGCTGCAGCACCATCCCCTTTGAACCTGTACGAATTCGTTGAAGCACCAAACATTAGTGAAGGCATGGAAGGGGCAAGGCTGGCCAATAGAAAGGTGCTGAGTCAAAACAACACTTAAGTTCACTTGTTCTATATTTTATTGTAGCCATCCGATAAGCAGCCTCTGTTCCGTCTAGGTTCAGTTCAACGTGTACAATGTATTGTATTAAGTTTCCATCTCTCTACAAGCTCATGACTTCAGCACAATTAAATCTCCTTTGCTCCTTCAAAAAGACAAAAATGTATGGAAACAAATGATAAGTATGGAAAATTGTCGAACTATGTGGACCCTTAGAGGGTTGGTACCAAATCCTTAGAAAAGGAAAACCCTTCAGAATAGGAAGGAAAGGCGCTTCTATCTATATACTTCCACTGTTTGGGGCCATGGTAGCAATGGTAGCTCTGGAGGTCCCTTGATTTTGCATGCACCGATACTTCATGGCCAGCGGTCAGCAACGAGGGTGTGTTTGGCAGTGGTCAGCTTTGGCCGTCCACATGTTGGAGTAAAGCGGCAACAATGGCATGGTCAGAGGGAAAGTCCTCAGTACAAATCAGACTTTGGGGCATGATTGCGGCATGACGCAAAACAGGGCTGCACAAAAGAAAAGCTGGGGGGAACCTCTTGAAGTGCTCAGAAACATTCACTTAACATTCAAAAGCCATCCAAAAAAATGACGGCTTTGCCAAGCTGCGAAGGTGGGGAAGTTCATTGACTCCTCGTAACGTAGCTGTCCCGTGTTGTCTTTGACGGGGTTCATCTGACCAACCTGTCATGCGGATATCATGGGCATTCATGGGTCAAAAACGCAAGCTGCTTTTACCATGCGCTTTGGCCATCTCGTGTCACACTTGCCAGCAAGTACTACTAAGGTGCATTTCCCATGCACACATACACACACTAGACAAGAATGGATCATTATATGATCCGGCAGGAACTGAATCCTGTAACATGCAAAAAGACAGGAAACAAATTTATTAGATAGTTTGTTTATTGGGGTTCTTGGCTTAGCCCCTTGCCACGTCCATATAAATCACAGGAGTCATTGACATATAAACCAACAGCAGTAAGAATATAAGGAGCACGTCAGTAAAAATCACAGGAGTCATTGACATATACACCAACAGCGTAACCCCTGCACTAGATTTAAAACCCTTGTACTAGATTTAAAAAGGGAGAGGACAGAAGGAAGAAAAAGAGAGAAGTTTTACATCTATTTAGATGTTACACACACATAAAGGCCAGAGCCGGGTCAACCCTGAAAGGCAAGAGGAAGAAAAAAGCGGACACACGAAGGGCAAACGGCCAAAAACAGCGCAGGGGGGGGAGGGGAACAGACGGACCTCCGGAACCAACCTACACGGCGAAACGGACCTGACCAAAACAGCGCACACACCTAAACCCCACGACACATTACGGAGAGGCACGCGGGAAAATTAGGGACCAAATGGGGGACTAGTTAATGACAGACAAGAAAACCAAAACAATTAGTTAAACAACAGGATTCAGCTCCTAAAACCTAGAAGTCGTGCGTTGTGCCAATTCAGGCCCGTGTTCAAGTCGGCCACAAGGACATATAACAGCTTTCAAGTTCCAACGAATTAGGTGCACAAAATGTTTGACCTCACCAGAAAACCAAAAGGAAGAGTACCACACCTGCAAGTCGTGTGCCTGCCTGATTCTTGTGTCATGAATGCCGCGAAGCTGCACAATATGCTGCATAAAAGGAAGTTTCTGAAGTTCGGCATGGCAACACGTGAAAGAGTGAAGACAACTGGGATCTCATGGGACAGCCGGAACGGCAGGAAATAACAAAAGGTGAATAACCGCAAGGCTGACTGTTGCACTTTACTTAAATGAATTACTAGATTAAAATGTGTAAATTCGGAAGTCAAGTCAGTCGACATTGACCCCAACTGGGGTTGCCTCACTTGGCCCTATGGCACCATGTCGGAGTCACCATAGGAATCACACTAGACAAGAATGGATCATTATATGATCCGGCAGGAACTGAATCCTGTAACATGCAAAAAGACAGGAAACAAATTTATTAGATAGTTTGTTTATTGGGGTTCTTGGCTTAGCCCCTTGCCACGTCCATATAAATCACAGGAGTCATTGACATATAAACCAACAGCAGTAAGAATATAAGGAGCACGTCAGTAAAAATCACAGGAGTCATTGACATATACACCAACAGCGTAACCCCTGCACTAGATTTAAAACCCTTGTACTAGATTTAAAAAGGGAGAGGACAGAAGGAAGAAAAAGAGAGAAGTTTTACATCTATTTAGATGTTACACACACACACATCTTGGCACGGAATCGCCGAAGCTGGTCAAAATCAAATTTCCTATGCTAAAGAACACGACTTCGCTCAAGTTGACAAGTTGTCTCTCCTCAATGCAAGAATTGCACGTGGCAGTTCAGGTGCATTGCTGTACTAGGTCCGCACATGTAGGATTACTTCGTGAGTCTTCGTGTGCCTCTGTTGGGCTAAGCAGCCGCAGCTGTTGTCGTTTGAAGGTGATCCTGTGAGCAGCGAGGGGCAAGGCCATGGGATGAATGAAGCGAGAAATCCGTATGGGTGGAACATCCGAATCTCGATGGAAGGTTGGTAAATCTGAAAAGGTGAGATAGCATCACAATGGTGCACACATGGTGATAGTACGTGTGCTGTGCATTTTTTTAATATGGACTACAAGATGCGTTTACCAACCTCCTTTGCTGAAATTAATATGGGATGTTCCAAACCAGCGCACTCTCCCAGCACAACTAGTCTCAGCTAAGTTTCAAATCCTTTGGATTACGATCACCTCAGCAAAGGCCGAAGCCAAACCATTCTATGATTTCTCTAGAGAGATCTCTGCATGCAAAGACTTGAAATGAACCACACGTTGTGGGAATGTGTGCCCTCAAAATCGAGAGAGCTTTGTAAACTTCTCCTCATTGTAAGTCTATTCTATTCATCACTGAAGTGTACATGTGCACGCATCTTCAACAACAACAATAGCAACACCATCCTTCCCCTTCTTCCCTAAAACTTATATAGACGTGCCTCCCCTCACATGCGGATAGCAGGCTGATATCCCCTCACACAGGATGAAAACATGTCCTGCCAAGTGGCTTAGAGATACTCGATCATTATACCTGATCGCCTGGTTTCAGTCAGGACTGGAGGAGCTATCTGGAGCTATCTAGAGATATCTCGAGCTATCGGGGTCACCAGCCGGTGGGCCAACGGAAGATTCTGTTGATGCACCAGGCAGACAGGTATTAGAGTACTACTCGAGGATCTTAAATCCAATGGAAACTTCCACTTGACAGAAGTTGAGAGGCTTCCCAGCTGCTGACAGCCTTTCCTGCAACCAATTGCACATCAAACTCGGCTGAAGACAGAGACGCTTTGTCTTAAGCGTGCCTTATTGAGTTGGGGCTGCAGCGAGGTGCGAGCGCAACATGTCGTTCGACATCGGTTCACATCCGGATCCTTGGCTTTGCAAACCAAAGAGGTTGTCCCTCGGCAAACCAAAATTGAGGTCCCTTGGAATTTCTTGGAATTTGGAACCCCAAAATCCAATGGTCCAGTTTTATCAGCCTATGTAGCCTGGCAGGGACCCCCACCTGTGCATGCTGAAGTATGCGGGACTAAACCCAGGCTGGAGTCACTGTTGCCAACAAACTCCAGAACACGTCGGAATGGCCGAGAATTTGAACTTGTAACTTGATCCGCAACCTTAACCTCTTTACCCTCAGGTTGCAGGTGGAACATCGGCCGATAGCAGTTGAGACATGTTGATACTATGATTTGGCCAAGGAGCATCTCCGAAGCATGTACTTAGTCCAAGCTTCTTCGCCTGCAGGACAAGAACATGCTACAAGCCAGCCCTCCCATGTGCAACCTTGCCTCAGGAAATTCAATATCTGGATGGGGGTGATGTGCAGTGCCATAGGCCCTTGCTACGTGGTTTGGTGGTCAACAAGTTTCACTGAAATTTCTTCGGAGGCTCACAGACAGTAGTTAATCAGCAATGAGAAATCTAGATGAGTGGCTGTCAAAATGTCTTCTCCCAAACAGTCCTTGAATCTCTTCTTCTCTACAATTCTTATGGTGTATGTGTCATGTATGGAGATGGGAAGTAACTTGATTCGAAGTGCACAATCAGTCAGTCCAGTCAAAGCCAAACGTTATGTCAAATCAATGCCCAAAAGGGATAGGTTGACTTTCAATCATCATGCTTCGTCAACGTACCTCCAGATTTCCCTATGCGACGGCCCTGAAAGTCTGGGATTACAAAGAATTCCCGCGGAACCATTCCCACAGTCCGGAGAGACCTTGCCTCTGCCTTAGCCAGGGGATGACTCAACATGACTTCCCCGTTGAGATCAGGCAGTCTATCGATCCAAAATCATTGGGGCCATTGGGGGCTCACTGCCATGGCCTTGGG